CAGTCATACCTAACCCTCCCCCTCTCCTCCCATATATTCCTCCCCGCCTACCCCTAGCTCCCCTATACACCTCCCTCCCCCACCTCTCAAGACCAGACAGACTTTGGATTGTCGCAATTAAAATTTTTATAGCTTAGTTTTACATTTATGAACTTTAATGCAATTGTTTTTGTTTTGTTTTCAGCTTTAAAATTAATTGGCAAAATTCTCATCGATTTTTGAGTAAGAGCTTTGTAATTAAATTAAATTAAATTAAATGCTTGATCGTCCAATCCTGATATCTTTGCAACCGGATGAGATTAGTTAGTGGCGATTGATCACTTTTTCTGAAAGGGAAAAAAAGAAATCTGAGTAAATTTTTTTGTGATTTATCATTATTACGAAATCTGGAAATCGTCTGAAAATTATCTGAAAAACTAAACTGGAAATCATCTAATAATAATCTGGAAATCATTTGGAAAATATTCTGAATTTTATTTTGATTTTTTACAATTATATCATAACGTGTTTAATGTTTATAAACCGCAGAATAAACATAAAATATACATTTTTACATCTAAAATTAGCAGTTGAAAGTGCCCGAATGCAATTTTAAAAAATTGTTAACTTTGCAAATTCTTTTGTTATATATCACGATATTGAACAGTAATATTTAAATAAATAGGCTAGTTTAAGGACACTTCCAGCCAATCTTTTAATTATTGCTTTATATGCGGCATTTTCTCCTTTTAAATTATCAAACAATGAAAAACGATTAGATTTAAAAGCTACAAGCTGTAGGGCCCGGCGTTGCCCGTGGAAATTTATTTCAAATTGAAATTTTTTAAGCCTAAGACACCCCCGGGTACCCATGAGTGTCAGCACAAAATTTCAGCCCAATCGGTCCTGCAGTTTGGTCGGGTATCGGTGACATATAAACGAATGGCCTGTTTTATTATACGGATTACTTATTAGCTTTCAAGAGAAAGCAATAAAAATTATTAGATTTATATAACCTTTCACTTTCTTCCGAGGATGAGTCAATTTAAATAATTTTGCAGTCCCTGTTTACTTTTCTCTTCTTTTTTAGGATGAATGATTAAAGTCTACTATTTAATGATCAAAAATTCTCTAGCGTCCAGACAATCCCTTCCCATAATACCTCTATAGTCCAGACAATTCCTTCCCATAATACCTCTAGAGCCCAGAAATCCCTTCCCATAATACCTCTATTGTCCAGACAATCCCTTCCCATAATACCTCTAGAGTCCAGACAATCCCTTCCCATAATACCTCTAGAGTCTAGACAATCCCTTCCCATAATACCTCTAGAGTCCAGACAATCCCTTCCCAGAATACCTCTATTGTCCAGACAATCCCTTCCCATAATACCTCTAGAGCCCAGACAATCCCTTCCCATAATACCTCTAGAGTCTAGAATGTCCCTTGCCATAATACCTTTAGAGTATAGAAATCCCTTCCCATACCTCTAAAGTCCAGACAATCCCTTCCCATAATACATCTATAGTCTAGACAATCCCTTCCCATAATACCTCTAGAGTCTAGACAATTCCTTTCAATAATACCTCTATAGTCTAGACAATTCCTTACCATAATACCTCTAGATTCTAGAGTATCCCTTCCCATAATATCTCTAGAACCTAGACAATTCCTTCCAATAATACCCCTAGAGTCTAGAATGTTCCTTCCTATAATTCCTTTAGAGTCCAGACAATGCCTTTCCATAATACATCTACATAGTCTAGACAATCCCTCCCCATAATACCTCTAGAGTCTTGATTATCCCTTCCCATAATACCTCTAGAGTCTAGACAATCCCGTCCCATAATACCTCTAGAGTCCAGACAATCCCTTCCCATAATACCTTTAGAGTCTAGACTATCCCTTCCCATAATACCTCTAGTGTCTAGACAATTCCTTCACAAAATACTTCTAGAGTCTAGACTGTCCCTTCCCATAATACCTTTAGAGTCTAGAAATCCCTTCACATAATACCTCTAGAGTCTAGAGTCTAGAGTCTAGAATGTTCCTTCCTATAATTCCTTTAGAGTCCAGACAATGCCTTTCCATAATACATCTACATAGTCTAGACAATCCCTCCCCATAATACCTCTAGAGTCTAGACTATCCCTTCCCATAATACCTCTAGAGTCTAGACAATCCCGTCCCATAATACCTCAAGAGTCCAGACAATCCCTTCCCATAATACCTTTAGAGTCTAAACTATCCCTTTCCATAATACCTCTAGAGTCTAGAAATCCCTTCCCATAATACCTCTAGAGTCCAGACAATCCCTTCTCATAATACCTCTAGAGTCTAGACAATCCCTTCCCATAATACCTCTAGATTCTATACTATTCCTTCCCATAATACCTCTAGATTCTAGACTATCCCTTCCCATAATACCTCTAGGTTCTAGACTATCCTTTCCCATAATACCTCTAGAGCCTAGAGTCCAACTTCCAGACGAATCATTAATTAAAATCTAAAAGCTTTGTTGATTCAATCATTTTTCTTTTAATCATTAATGTTTCAGATAAAATGTAATCAAGAGATTTAAAGGGAAGAATCGCAATTTATTTAAGGATGTATTGGGGTCAAATTCGGGAAAATATTTTTTAAATTTTTTTATTCGTTCCTGGATAAATTATTGCATATAACCTTTTTTTATATTGATGCTTGAGTCGACACATTTGCTATTTGTTTTCCTTGAAGATGAAACGAAGAATTGGAATATCATTAGGTTGGGTTCTCCTTCAGACCAGTCTTAGTCTAGTACTTACAGGTACAGGTACAGGTACAGGTACAGGTACAGGTACAGGTACAGGTACAGGTACAGGTACAGGTACAGGTACAGGTACAGGTACAGGTACAGGTACAGGTACAGAATATCCCATGTTTAGGAAATGCAAGTAAATGTCTGGACCGAACTCCCAACGGAACACTAGAAAAGGTAAAATGTAATTCTCTAAGTTTACGAGGATGAGGGGAAAAAACTGAATTTTAAATTTCTAAACATGAAACTTGAATTAAATAAAGACAATTATCAATAAATTAAATATTACATTACAATGGGGTAACTTGATTTAAATTTCTGCGTTTTCATTTATTGATATGGCTTCCAACTTTCTTTAGTCAATTTCCCATTCAAAATCATACGAGAAATGTTTAATAAACTGAGGTTTTGCCTCAAACTCAAATTTTCTAATTACTTTATCTTCCCAACCTGATGGTATAAATCATCAATATTTCAAACTTAGTTTTTTCTTGATCAAACAGAATTCAAAGGTCTACTACAATAGTTTGAGGCAAAAACTCAGTTTCTTTAAAGTGATATTTCGAAAAGAAAATTTTGTAATTGTAATAAAATCTTCTAATAAGATAACGATCAATATCGAATTTATTTAAGACTTATAGCCATCTTCCCTTTTAATTCTTCGTGATCACTCTCTTTAAAGGGGCTGTAAGCGTAATTTCAAGTGACCCTCAAAGATGGCAACGCCCGATTTGCAACGATACCCTTGAAACCTTTGCCTGATTTAGTATGAATTAAATATTCATGTTTTTGTTTAAACTGTTTTATTTAAACTTGTGGTTATTCTGAATATGCAACTTGTGCATCTATTTTTTATAAGAAACAGTTAAGAAATTATCAGAATTAAACACTTTTTAAGTCAGAAAAATTATTTTCCTCTTTTTTTGTTTCAACTTCACCGTTGTTAATTAGGCGTCTGCATCATTTTTTCTCTACAAATGTTAGTAGAAATGAAATTGAATAAAACGAACAAAAAAAGATAAAAAAAATACTGTTTAAAAAAATTGTATAGAAGCAAGTTGAATATTTTTCACTCATCTCATTACTTACTGTTAAAAAACTCCAGGGAATAATTTTAACAGAAAACCTAAAATGTTGAAATATATTTTCTAACGTTGAATACAATCAGCTGTATATTACTCACGAACATCAAGGGTTTTCCGTCTATTTTTCTTCAATAAATATCCATTTTTAAGCCAATTTAAGAATTTAAGAATTTTTTTAAATGCAATATTTACGTTCAGAAATGTTACCATTTGGCGATAATACGATTTACTTCTTCGGTTAATTATTTTACATTGTGGATTAATAATTTAACATTTTGAGATATATATTTCACAATTTGGGAGAATTTTTATATAAATATTTTACATTTTGCGATGTTGAATTAACATTTTTAGTCTGAAAGCATCTCTAAACCACTTACTTAACGAACCAGGTGTAACACGTGTTTTAAATTAACTACAAATTAAACTTTTCCTTAAAGGGAGTGTTCGCGATAAATTATATACATAGTACATACAAACTGAGACATCTGGAAGCCAACGTTTTCGGCGTTTTAAGTGCATTGTATACAAAGAAATATTAAAAATTAACTACTTACGAATCCGTCGAAAAATAATCGGTGACTATAGGTTGTAATATCTGAATGATTTGTTAGAAATTAAATTGATTTTTTACGATCAGAGTCTAATATTTGCAACTTTCTGAATTTGTATGGAAGCTACGTTCTTCAGTATAAGTAGTTTTTAAAAACTAGTAATAAAAGGTAAAATTCACAAACTAAAAAAAGATTTTGTGAAAAAAAAAAACCTTTTTTTGTAATATAGAATTAAATTTGACTTTGTTCAAATTAAATTTTTTAATTAGAAATGTAGCTAATGAATTTGTAATCAATAATGATATACTGACTTATATCGGATAAAATGCCGAATGGCGCATTATAGTTTACAAAAATCTCACAATTATGGAGAGGATTCAAATATTTGGTGTATACAACTGTTTTGGGAGAAATCTATTTATGTATACTGAACATCAATTGGCCTAGCAGTTAAATGTTTCAAATAAACCTGAGTCACAGAGTGTTGTAACGATAACAGATTAAAGACTTCATAAAGACATCTTTTATTCCGTTTATGGTTATGAACTATAGATATATTTCAGGTTAACAAAAGAAGAAAAAAATATGAGTAATAAGGAATCTGAATATAGATCCAGGTAGTTAAAGATGATAATGTTGATGATGGTATTAATGATAATAACGATGGCATGAATGATAAATAATAATGATGATAATATTGAAGATGAAATTAATGATAATCATAATGATGATGATGATGATGATGATGATGATGATGATGATGATGATGATGATGATGATGATGATGATGATGATGATTATCTAGATGGAATGATGATAAAGATCATGTATTTTCAGATTGCTTGGAAGAGCATCTGGAGATGAGCCAAAAAGATTTTCAAATTTTCTACTCGTCAGTGAAAATACAGATTCAAGGTAATTTTAATTTTTGTAAATTAAAGTTTCCTAATTTTTTATTTTCTTCCAGGCTACACACTGATCCTGCCTCTGCAGGATCTTTCCAACTACTAGGAGATGTTCTCACCAGGTACATTTAATTAAACAAAAAAGGAAAACGATCCAAAAATAAGATCGTTTCAACACGTTCTTTTTTTGATCGTTTATCGATCATTTTTTGCAATCTAAAAACGAACCAACTAGGTTCATAATCTCTTCAATATAGACATACTTATAAAAAGTCTAAGTATTCAAAACTATATTCAATTTTTGGCGGCAGAATTTATGGTTCGGACCATTTAGGATCCAGTTTTTTTTGTAAACAATCCATTGCAAACAATACAACAAATAGGGTCAGAGGGAAATAGGATATGGATAAAGTGGTTCAATACAAAAAATGTTTGTCAAACATATATATATATATATGTCATATGTCAATGCACATTGTCTGTTATGGATTATTTTCAGTCTTATTTAGATATGTCATTCAAAATCCGTCGAAAATAGCGTAATTGAGACTTCGAATACTTAACAATTTTTGACACATAGCCCAACAAAAAAATATTAAAGAGCAAGTACGAAAGTTCTACATTTAAAGGATAAAAATTGGTTCTGACTCACTGGACCTTTAACCTGGACCTGTACTTGACCGTGAACCCTGTTATTGGTAACACTGAGAAATTAACTCCTTGATGAAATTGTTCATGATTCACATTCGGTTCCATCAGCAGAATTTACGCCTTTAATAATGACAATCTGACAGATGGAATTAAAACGTCTATGTCGAATGGAATGAGTAAAATACTATACAGTGTATCCTATTCCTTGTATATTTGAGTATTTATGTTTGTTGGTTGGTTAATTTCTTTAAAAAGTCAAACCCGATTAGGCCCATTTTTAACCCGATTAGGCCCATTTTTAACCCGATTAGGCCCATTTTTAACCCGATTAGGCCCATTTTTTGTGGACAATCACATGATCAGCCATGGTAAAAAATATTGGCTGAAAAGATTTGAAAATCCTTTTTTAAAAGCAAGAAAATCTGGAATAATCTTTTTGTGTGATTAGAGATGGGCGCTTTCGGCTTTTTGAAATTAATTCGTGCATTGTTGATTAACGTTAGTTTATTTTCAGTCGTTTGGTAAAATTTGAATTTGTTCGTTTATTTTTCATCTATTTCTATGGGTTCTTAACTATACGTCCGTTCAGTAACATAGTTCATTCAGTAAAATCGTTTAAATTCACAAAAACGTTTGTTCAACAAATTCGTTCGTTCATTCGTTAAAGGTCTGACTTATCAAAAATAATTTTAATCAATCGTTTTTTTATTTCTCTGAACAATTAAATTTTTCGTTCATCGTTCATTATTTTTTTTTACTACGCCATCCTCTACGAAAATTTCGTTTGTTTGGCAATATTTCATTCTGAACGAAAACAATGCCCACCTCTATGTGTGATAAATTCATTATAAAAAAAGATAATAATTACAAGAAAAAGAGTCGCACAGTGCCCCAATTTTCTAATATTTCATCAGCTGAAGAACTGGAAAGTATAATTCTTCCAGAAAAGGCGGGAAAAGTTTCAAAACAAATTCAAACTTAAGATTGTAAATAAAACTTTACAAGTTTTTCCAAGCTAGATGTTTTCTTCTGTCTAGGTTCAGTGATCACTGTACAAATACAATAACAGAAACCAGTTCTATACATAAACAAGAAATTCAGGTAATTTCATCCTTTAATTAACAGATTTTTATGTTCCGATTCACAACTTTTATGTTCCGATTCACAATTTTTAGGTTCCGATTCACAACTTTTATGGTCCGATTCAAAACTTTTATGTTCCGATTCACACCTTTTATGTTCCGATTTACTGTTTTGTATCGGGCGTGTGACTCTTTAAATGGAGGGATTCATTAGAATTCATTGTTTGAATCAATTGATTGCTTTGTTTTTCTTTATTTATTCTTGCTTTATTCATTTTATTGTTTTTTCTTCAATAACTAACTAATTAGTTTTATTCATTAGTCCCATTGGTCCTTTTTTCCAATTTATACAGAGCCTTCATTTTCTTTATAAATCCTTTCATGTTTTCTTTCATTCAAGTTTTTTAATCCTTCAATTAATTCCTACTTTTTGTTCATTAGTTCTCATCCATTAATTAAGTTTTTACAGTTTTTCCTTAAAGGGACTGCACACATAATTTCAAGTGTCCTTTAATTATATTAATATAGAGTGGCATATCTGAAAAAATGAAAAACAGCGATTTTGTTTTATTATTTCCATACTGCAGGTGTACTTCATCATATTTGTGCTATATAACCTATTGGGCCCTGGAACATCATTTTATTAATATTTAAAAGAAAACCAAATTATGAAATTGGCTGGTTTCATAATTGACCAATGATCATTTCACATAGACTGTATGCCTTCCACATGAAAACGATGATTTTCCGTTATAACTATAAATCAAATGATGTTTTTTATTCACCTAATTCATTAAAAAGTTTATTTAACAGCTTTAAAAAATTTGAAATTAAAATGAATAGTCTAGGTAACATACTTTATTAATGTACTCTACTGCTTATAATTTGTGAACATTTACATGATTTATACACTTGAACTCCCTTTCAGGCTGAAAGGAGCTGACAAAATTCATACCGAGGGATTGTCTAAATTCCACTCTAATATATATTTTATTCTCTTTGACTGTAGGATATTAGATATTCTTATTCATGAGGCTTTAAATTGAATAATTGGTACCGTTGTGAATCGGAAATGTAGGGTCACATGCAATTACATCTACAGTCCCGTTGAGCGCAAAGCAATTTTTAATTGTGATTATTTCCTCAATTTTTTCATGGATTTATGAATCAGGTTCTCTGGACTGCTCCTTCCGAAGGGAATGGTTGTATCAGTTTTAAGGCCATGGTTGTAGTCAACAGGTGACACAAAACAGCATGCAGCAGGTTCACAACACAAAACAGCATGCAGCAGGTTCACAACACAAAACAGCATGCAGCAGGTTCACAACACAAAACAGCTTGCAGCAGGTTCACAACACAAAACAGCTTGCAGCAGGTTCACAACACAAAAGCATGCAGCAGGTTCACAACACAAAACAGCATGCAGCAGGTTTACAACACAAAACAGCATGCAGCAGGTTTACAACACAAAACAGCTTGCAGCAGGTTCACAACACAAAACAGCTTGCGCAGCAGGTTTACAACACAAAACAGTATACAGCAGGTTTACAACACAAAACAGCATGCAGCAGGTTTACAACACAAAACAGCATGCATCAGGTTTACAACACAAAACAGCATGCAGCATTCAGGGTTACCCACAAAAAAAATGGATTTTAGATACGACTTTATGAAATCATTTAATTTCATACATGCATGGTAAACATTTTCTTCTTTCTTTTTAATTCTTTAAAGTAATGTTGAAAATATATAAAAGGCAAAAGAACTAAATTCAAACATTAGATCATATATAAAGAGCTTTATACAGTCATTAAAGTGACTTTCTAAGGCAGCTAGGACAAGTTGTATAGTATTCATAATAATACATAATACAGACTAAAGACGGTAAAATATGACAGTAAATTAAATAAATCATCTCCTATAACTATGGGAGATGATGGTGCCAATATTATATTACATATTTCATTTCCTTGAATGAGTTTCAGAAACAGAGCAACTAATTAATTTATAGAGGGGGGGGGGGAGGATATTGAACCAATTTGGTCCAAAAACAGTGAAATAATTGCCGCCTTCATTTTTTCTTTTTATTACAAAATGTCACTAGAGATATAAATATAAATTTTGTAATTAGTAATTACTAATTCTTATATATAAATAATACATTTTTTTTCCAAAATTTTCAAGCCACATTTTCCGAAATATGTCAGTCACGAATTACCAAATCTCTGGAGCCATTTCATGATATAAAGAAAGATAGAAGACGACCATCATTCTATTGTTTTCTGGTTACCACTGTATGATAATTGTTTAGAACTACCTGGTCAATGGATAATGGCGGACTAAATCTTGAAGTTTGTGAAAAACTAAATGAAGAAGAAGAAGAAAATTTCATCCTAGGCAAATGTTTTATAATCTTAAATGTAATAAAACAAGACATTCTTATTATATGTACGGCTGGACAGAATGGGATTAGAATACTTTCTTTTTAAGTTTAAAGTTTAATTTTTAATACAATACCATACAGATAAGCCATCTTATATTATATAATCTAATAATTTTAGTATACAATAATGAGAAAAGTATGGTGGAAGAAGCCATTTTGATCTTATTAGTAGTCCAATTGCATTAAATATATTCTATATAAAGCTATACATAATTAGATATATACAACACATGCATAAGACAAGGATATAGAGAGTGGGGGGGGGGGGTATTAGAGATCTAGGTTCTAACCGGAATATAAAAATGAGGGAATACAAGAAAAAGTGTGACTTATCTTTGTGAGAAAATAATAATCTTTATATGTATATTTTGCTTGTTTTAATGTCCGTTTGTATCCAATCAACGTCAAAACAGCTGAACCGACCCAAATTTCGTGTGGGACCTAACATGACCCAAGGGAAGGTTTATGGAATATCAAAGTTGGGGGGGACAAATCTTGGAAAATAGTTGTAATTTTTTTTTTTTGAAAATGCACCAATTCGAAAAGATAAATCCGCCAAAATTGGAAAATTATTTAAAATGGCCGACTTCCAGAGCAACAGTTAAAAGCTAAAAAAAATTATAGGAAAAGGGACGCGAAGCGCTCTAAATGCATAGTTCAGATAAATATGAAATACTGAGTCCGCTACATGCAATTTTTTTCATATTTTAGTCTATGTCACCCCCAGGCTACACATGAGTGTCCTCAACCAATTTCAGCCCAATCTATCCCATCTATTTTTCACATATTAAATTGTCCCATGAAACTAAATTCAAGAGGAGAATGTCACGTATTTAAAAATAGATTTATTATAAAATTCTTAAGATGACTGCTGCGCGTGTTCCGAGGCAAAATATGAAGTAATGTTCGAGGTCAGTATTAATTACTAACTATCAACCCGAATTTGGGATCAAAGGAATTGATCGAGTCTAATTTTGTAATCCTTATATCTTTTCAACCCAGTGTCGTAGAGCTTAGACATTTTAAACCATGCCTTCTGTGAGATCAAATGATCAAAGTTCGAAATATCAAAGGTTTACACCTTCTGGTTGTAAAGATATATTAATTAGAAAATTTTAGTTTGTGGTAATGACAATTCCTTTTTCTCAGATCATGTTACTACGACCGGCTTGATTTTTAGGACCCTTTCAAAGCAAAATATTTGCATGGCAAATATTTTCAATAACTATATTATATTTGAACAATTATACACTGTACGCACAGTAAATCAAACAAACAAAAAATCCAGCTAAATCATCCTTATTTTAAACTGAAAGGGAGTGTTCGCGAAAAATGAAAGGGGGTATAGACTTACGGCGATAAATAATCGCTTTTGATCGCTACTAATCTTTCTTCTATCTGTTGCGTCTAAAATGAGAAAATTGTTAAAAATGTCTCATACCGAAGAACGCAGATTCCTTACAAATTCAGAAAGTTGCAACATACGACTCGGATCGTAACAAAATCAATTTAATTCCAAACAAAGCATTCAGATATTACAACTTATAGTCATCGATTATTTTTCGACACATTTGTATATAGTTATTATTTCATAATATTTTTTACTTTCTATGATCCGAGAGGGACTTTTGAAAACATTCATTCCTGATTCGAGGAATTTAATAATGAAGACGACATTTTCCATATTTTCCGGGAAAAAACACAAAATAAAAAATATTATGAGATATCTACTTTATACAAATGCGTCGAAAAATAATCGATGACTATAGGATTTAATATCTAAATTATTTGTTTGATATTAATTTGATTTTTTTACGATCTAAGTCGTATATTCCGTAAGCCTATACCCCCTTTCATTTTTCGCGAACACTCCCTTTAAGAGATGCCCATCTCAATTAAAAACGCAAGAGACTAAGCTCTTAAAATTGCGACCTTAGTGAAGACTGAAGCAATAATTAAAAACATTTAGGGTTTGTGGTCCAAGGAAACACATCCTAAAGATTTCCCGCTCTCTGAGTGGCTACTCCATTTTTCTGACGTCATTGGGGCTTCTCATAGTATAGATTACAGGATGGGGATAAGTATATAAACTATAACCATCTCTGTTTACATGCTAAAGTGTTCTTTATTGTCTTAGGGACGGTAGCATAGATAGATCGATAGATAGATAGATAGATAGATAGATAGATAGATAGATATATAGATAGATAGATAGATAGATAGATAGATATATATATAGATAGATAGGTGGGTAGGAAAGATAGATAGATTGATATTAAAGTTTTCTAATGAAAAGTTTTAAACTCTATTTTGTACAGAGTGCAATTTAGTGAAATACATTTCTCAGCCAAATAAATTTCATTGAACTTAATATATGGTATCTAAATTTCTCACTGTATCGTATCCAAAATTCTCAATATATGGTATCCAAAATTCTCAATATATGGTATTCAAAATTCTCAATATATGGTATCCAAAATTCTCAATTTATCGATTCTAATATTCTCAATATATCGTTTCTAAGAATTTCAATATATCGTTTCTAAGATTTTTTAATATATCGTTTCTAAAATTTTCAATATATCGTATCTAATATTCTCAATATATCGTTTCTAAAATTCTTAATATATCGTTTCTAATATTATCAATATATCGTTTCTAATATATTCTCAATATATCGTTTCTAAAATTCTCAATATATCGTTTCTAAGATTTTCAATATATCGTTTCTAAAATTCTCATTTATCGTATCCAACATGTTTAATTTCTGTAAATGTTGCAGGGTGTGGGAGGCTGGTGGTTTGGCAAGTAAAGGACTCACCCAAGTTGCAAAATGGGGATCTCCTAGAGTTCTTGAGAGTGAACTAAAGGCTAAAAGTTCTCATATAAGGTCAGTTAATATTTACTGATGTATGCTACTGTACTGTACTGTACCGTACTGTACTGTACTGTACTGTACTGTACTGTACTGTACTGTACTGTACTGTACTGTACTGTACTGTACTGTACTGTACTGTACTAACTGTACTGTACTGCACTGTACTGTAATGTACTGTACTGTACTGTACTGTACTGTACAAGCAAGGTCGTATAAAGTTCTTGTATGCTGGAATTCCAAAACTAATGATAAAATAACCACGATATTGCTTAGTTTATTGGATCTCTCTGTATGAATCTTCAGGTTTGCACAATAAACATTAATACCAGAGATAAAAACAGGGACAAAATAATAAATTTAATCTAATGGTCGTTTCTGAGTTGTCTTATTTCCCTTATATTTTATATATTATTCTCACACTATTTTTATGAGATAATACAGGGTAGCTCAAAAAACATGAAAAATCTTCTTTGATTTCCAATAGTGGATTAATCACAGAGAGAGCATGAAAAAATACTGTACTTTTTATGAGCCTTTCAAAATGTGATATTCCTGCTTTAAATCTTTAATGACGATACAGTAAACACAGCACAGCGGACAGTTTTAAGAAAATGGGGACAAATTTCTCAAAATATTCGTCAATTTTGTTCAAGAAAAATTTCATGTAGTACAAAGGCAATGTAAAAATTGTTACATATGTCTATATTCATTTGGGACACCCTAAAGTATATAATAAGACTTCTGTACAAAGATATGTAACATAGATTTATAGAAAGAAAGTGAAAAGTATACGCAAAATGAAATACAACGCACAAATTTAGCTCAAATATTTTTGCCAACAATGTACGAACAAAATTAGATTTTTTAAGGCCTTTTTTATTCGAGCTGTGAAAAAGATTGATGAAGTCGATTAGTGCGTTTAAAGAAGTCAGATCAAATATCGATTGTAAACTGACAAATCTGTTCTATTTAATCATGAACAAAATATTCACTATTTAGAATATCTCCGTATAATGTTAAGTAAAATGATTGTTTACAAATACTTTCAAATCAAATCAAGGGAATTTTTTCAACGATAGTTTGGCCTCACAATTATTTAGATGTTACATGCGTAGACACAGTTGAACTTCTTCTCTTTTCCTTGACCTGAAGTTTTAACTTAAACTTCTAACTATTCCTTAAATCTGGTCCAGTGGATGTATAAAGATTTAAGTGGATTTAAATCATTAACAAATTTTTTTTTTTTTTTCAGAACGATAATAAAATCGCGTGGTCTCTGGTTCCCGAATGTAAACGGAAAAACGTTCGCAATTCTTAGAACAGACTCTAGAAATCATCTAGTTAGCCTAGGTAAATGCAAACTCTAGAAACCATCTTGTTAGCCTAGGTAAATGCAAACTCTAGAAACCATCTTGTTAGCCTGTAGGTAAATACAAACTCTAGAAACCATCTAGTTAGCCTAGGTAAATATCGACTCTAGAAACCATCTTGTTAACCTAGGTAAATACAGACTCTAGAAACCATCTTATTAGCCTAGGTAAATACAGACTCTAGAAAAATGGAATAAGACAACATTTTTACTTTAATGTGTTAATATGATCAAACCTTATCAAACAATGGCCTCCTTTCGATCATATCATCGAGGTTTAATCATTCATTTTTTATCCTGATTTAAAATATTTTTTTTGTGTTTCATGCGTTCCAGCAGAATTCATGTAACAAAGTCAAAGGGAATGGAAAAGGACAGCAAATATGTACCAATGGCTTTTTGCAGTATATAATTTTTCTCGAGAAATTTTTGGTGCTGGAAACTAGCAATTTTTTCACAACAATTTTATAATGTGATTTTTCCATCAATCAATGTTAGTTAATAACAAAGTATTTCTTCAGTTAGTATGTTGGGCCCCTCTCCAGACTGGATTGTAGGAGTTTCAGCACTAGAGATGTGTCAAATCAACTGTACATGGATAGATAATAAGGTATGTACATGTATATATTATAAGGTATGTACTATGTACATGGATAGATAATAAGGTATCTACATGGATGTATGATAAGGTATCTACATGGATAGATAATAAGGTATGTACATGGATGTATGATAAGGTATGTACATGGATGTATGATAAGGTATGTACATGGATAGATAATAAGGTATGTACATGGATGTATGATAAGGTATGTACATGGATAGATAATAAGGTATGTACATGGATGTATGATAAGGTATGTACATGGATAGATAATAAGGTATGTACATGGATGTATGATAAGGTATGTACATGGATAGATAATAAGGTATGTACATGGATGTATGATAAGGTATGTACATGGATAGATAATAAGGTATGTACATGGATGTATGATAAGGTATGTACATGGATAGATAATAAGGTATGTACATGGATGTATGATAAGGTATGTACATGGATAGATAATAAGGTATGTACATGGATGTATGATAAGGTATGTACATGGATNTAACCTCCTCAGGGAACCAAAGGGTTTCCTCAAATATCCGATTATTTCAGATTATGTTAACCTCCTCAGGGAACCAAAGGGTTTCCTCAAATATCCGATTATTTCAGATTATGTTAACTTCCTCAGGGAACCAAAGGGTTTCCTCAAATATCCGATTATTTCAGATTATGTTAACCTCCTCAGGGATCCAAAGGGTTTCCTCAAATAATTTTAGACAATTTGGTCCAGCCGTTTGTCCAGCTATAGGAAAGCTTTCAATTACATATATATATACATGAGCGAGGAGCTTTATTTTATAGAATAGCTTTTATAGAATAGATAGATAATAAGGTACAGAGCTGTACCATGATAGAAAATTAGGTATATAACTGTACATGAATTTATAATAAAGTACATAGCTGTACATAAATAGATAATAATGTATATATTGTACAATGTACATGGATAGATAATATGGTACATTAATGTTTAACAGTTCACTGTTATTTATGATTAACTTGTAAGCTGTGCGATGTGATAGCCGGACATTGTTCATCAAAATGTATTGTACATTTATTTAAAGGGACTGTAAGTGTAAATTCTAGTGATTGTCCATAAAAAATAGCAATTCTTGATTTTCAATGGTACCCTCAAAATATTTTTCTATTAAAGGGAGTGTTCGCGAAAAATGAAAGGGGGTATAGGCTTAATGCGATAAAAAATCGCTTTTGATCGCTACTAATCTTACTTCTATCTGTTGCGTCTATATGGAGAAAATTGTTAAAAACGACTCACACCGAAGAACGTAGTGTTCATACAAATTCAGAAAGATGCAACATTCAACTCGGATCGTAAAAAAATCTATTTAATTCCCAACAAATTATCCAGATATTACAAACAATAGTCATCGATTATTTTTCGACGCATTCGTAAATAGTTGATATTTCATAATATTTTGTATTTTTCATGATTTGAGAGTTACATTTTTTCCTGTTTCGAGGATTTTTGATAATGAAGACGACATTTTCATATTTTCCAGGAATGTTCGAAAATCCAGCGCCAGCGAAAATTAATCTAAAAAAACAAAATCAAAAATATTATGAAATATTAACTATATATGAATGCGTCGAAAAATAACCGATTACTATTGTTTGTANAAACAGGGGAAGGGGTAATATGAATATACATGGTTGAAGAAAGAAGATTTGACATGTTTCAATTAGTTTTTTTGGTAGTAAAAATGAAAAAAAAACTGTCATTACTTGATATTTATCTATCTTATAATATATTAATGGTTGAGCTGAACCAACATTATGCTTGTATTATGACTCTTTTGTGATTTTATAGAATTAATACTTGATAACATGACTGTTTTATGCTTCTATTATTTCTTATTACATCTGTTTATGATTCTGAAACTACTCTTATATATTTATTTTGTATCGTTATCTTTATAATGAAAATATTAATATTTTAGATCATGGGGAGCCAGACACTCACAGTAGGTAGGAATTTTTACAGTATTATTGGGGCATTACTGGGACTACTTTGTGACCTCGAAGCTCCTCTTGTTTTGATTTTACGCAGAAATCTAAAGAAAACAAATTTAACCAGTAACATATTAGAAATTCATGTTTCTTTTTCTCAATAGCTCTTTAATAAGAGAAGTTATGATTGTAAACATATAACACAAAATCGTACATGCAATTCACTTTAGTTAGGCGTGATATAGATTAGTTAGGCGTGATATATACTTGGATGGGTGACTGTTTAAAGTTTTAAAGTCTACAAGGACTGTTTTTATATGCTTTGGACTAATTGTAAAAAATGAAGAGTACCAGATGAATTGTAAAAATGAAGAGTACCAGATGAATTGTAAAAAATGAAGAGTACCAGATGAATTTGCAAATTTACATTTTCTTTTTCCCCTAAACCTCACATTTTCTAAATTAATACTGAGGAATGAAGATTGCATTTAGAGTTGCGTATAAAAAAATCATATTAATTTAAAACGTACATTTATAAAAATAATAACTTTCAAATGACTGTTATAGGGAGTGTTCGCGAAAAATGAAAGGGGGTATAGGCGTACGTACGGCGAAAATAAGCGCTTTTGGTCACTACTAATCTTACTTCTATCTGTTGTCTCTATAAAGAGAAAATTGTTAAAACAACTCATGCTGAAGAACGTAGCATCCATACAATTTCAGAAATTTGCAAAATTCAACTCGTAAAAAAATCAGTTTAATTCTAAACAAACCATTCAGATATTACAAACAATAGTCATCGATTATTTTTGGACGCATTCGTCGTATATAGTTAATATTTCATAATATTTTTGATTTTTTAAAAAATAATATTTCACTGGTGCTGGATTTTCGAACATTCCTGCAGAAAATATGAAAATGTCGTAATCATTATCAAAAATCCTCGAAACATGAAAAAATGTCTTCAAAAGTAACTCTCATCATAAAAAATGAAAAATATTATGTAATGTTAACTATATACGAATGCGTCGAAAAATGATCGATGATTATTTGTTGTAATATCTGAATGATTTGTTTGGAATTAAAATGATTTTTTTACGATCCGAGTTAAATGTTGCAACTTTCTGATTTTGTAAGGACTCTACGTTCTTCAGCATAAGTCTTTATTAACAGTTTTCTCATAAACGCAACAGATAGAAGTAAGATTAGTAGCGATCAAAAGCGATTATTTTTGCCGTAAGTTTATATCCCCTTTCATTTTTCGCGAACACTCCCTTTAAAGAAACCTTTCATGATTTGTTTTTAAAATAGTTTTGATGATANGTGAAGGCAGATAACAATTTAAAAAGAAATTATAACACGATGTACGATTTATAGCAAATATAATTTGGAAACCCAAATTATAGAAATCCAAGCCTAACTATCTAACGACCAAATTTTTTAAAAACTGCTTCTCTAAATTATTTGTTTAGTATTCTGGTAGGAAAGGATCAATTTGAGTTTAATGTTTAGTTTTTCTTCATCAGAATATATTTTCTTTTGTCTAAGAAAAGTTAGTTTGTTTGTGTTGAGCATATTGATGGAAGAATGGACATTGGTTGGAAACACGTGGTGGAATAATAAACTTACTTAACAGCTCATGATCATTTAAGGGGACTGTGTTTCAAATAAAAGAATTGTTTCCATGAAAGGGAAGGTTTCTCTCATAGATTTGATTCCCCCCCCCCAAAAAAAAAGGATTGAGCCTAAATGAAGGATGGTTTTTTTACAAGAGATTGTTTAATCCATGGAGTTTCTAGAAATATGTTGTTCTTGATCATATAATTAAAGAAATATTGCCCTGTCCCAAAACTTCATAAAGTCTAGAATTAATGAATGAATTTAACAAAAATAAATATGTTCAATCAAGATAAGCAAATTTTTTTTAAATTGTCGTTTGTTTTAAAAATTTACCCCTAATCTTGGAATTTTGAAACGGTTTTCGTTATTTTTAATTTGTTTCGGAAGGGGGGGGGGAATGTGGAAACCCTTCTTTCGTATATTTGCATGGAAGAAAAAAATAAAGTAAAATTGAATTAAAAGAAAGTAACACCCAGGGAAATCTTTTTAATCCATTCTAAAAAACTAATTAAAGGGGACAAAAGCTCCACCCTCCCCCCCCCCCTTCCTCAAGCCTACTCTGAGGTGAACCACAATCTGATATTATAATTCTTTAAGAGAGATTTTACAGAACTTTAATTGAAATGCAGAAAATTTTCCCGTTGAAGCTAAGGATAGAATTTCCTCGAATTCAAATCTCTTCAGAAATTTGGATTTTCAAAATTGCAAATATTCTGGATTGTAGGAGCAGCTAAAGTAGCAGAGACTCTAGGAGCAGCTCCAGTAATGAACAGCTAGCATAGCAGAGACTCTAGGAGCAGCTCCGGTAATGAACAGCTAGCATAGCTGAGACTCTTGGAGCAACTCCGGTAATAAAGGAAGCAGAATGGAATGTAGTGGTAGCATTTCATATTGTAGGAGCAGCGGAGACTCTGGAATAAGCCAGAGTAATAGCTAAGATAGTACTGTAAGAAATACTGAACATGGAGCAGCTAAACAAGATATTGAGTTGGAGAAGCTGCCTAGATAGCTACGAAACTTGGAGTAGCTAAACGAGATATTGAGGTTGAGGAAGCTGCTCAGACAGACACTGCACTGGAACAGCTGAACCACGGTTTCTCAGATACTATAGAGAGCTAATTCAACAAGAATAATTTTAAACAGATGTATTAGACAAATAAATTGAAAACATGATAAATCCCATTCATTCATACTCTGAGATATATATATAGAGAACATTAAGTGGATTTATACAACAAAGTACGTGGACCTAGAGAGGGAGCAAATTATTGATCTCGAAATCCTTAAAATTTGTATATGTAAATTGTAATCGATTGTATACCTTTAATCATTACAATCTGTTTATAATTATATTGTAGTCTTGCTGGATGTGAGGTTGGGCCCTGGAGTCCCTGGTCTGGTTGCTCTGTAACCTGTGGGAAGGGAATATCAAGTAGACAAAGAAACTATGCTGATATTTTCAGGTTAATAAGAGACCGAATTTAATGTATTGGACAGGTCACTAAACTACCTACCACCGGTTCAAATCTTGAATCACCGATTCAAATCCTCATTAATTTAAAACTTTAAATCGGGGATTCAAATTTGAACTGTGGTACAGGTAGTTCAGAACCCAGCTCAAATTTATTAGATTCGGTCTCTGATATAAAAAATGTCTACCAAATTGGTGCCAACTATCAAACCCTGTAATAAGACCATTACGTTGAGGGATGGATTTCAGAAACCCTTCATTTTAAAAGTGCCTTTGCAGTAGATAAAATTACGACTATCTTTTTTCTTTTAAGAAGTTGAAAACAATTTTCAGTTCGAAAGTTTAGAAATGAAATGATTAGTATTTGTTTAGTGCTCGACAAAAGAGCTGTAATGAACAGCTGATACAAAGAGAAATGTGCTCTTCTGAAGTATCTCAATGTGACGGTAAATTGTAATTAATAAGTTTCATAACATCTCTCAGAACTTTTACTTTTCAAGACGTACTCAAGAGATTATAAAACTTTGACTTATAGTCCTAGAAAAACTTTTTCAAACAAGGATCATATTTAATTTCTTTATAATTATTCATAATACATTTTCGTCTTAAAAGTGTCGCAACGTGCCTCAGATTGTATTTCACTTAGATTTTCTTCAGTTGTCATGTATATATCAATACAAAGAACACTACTTTTGATTTCAATTTTTGATTTCTACCAATCTTTTAAACAGCATCGATACACCACTGCAATCTTCCCAGACAGAGGCTACGTTTGTTGCAAAAACGTGCTGGGTCAACTCTACACTTAGTAGCCTAACTGGACAGTATGACTGAATGCATATACAGTACGTGTTGTACCGGCACAGATCATGCAACTTTTAGACTGGGGTGACACGTAAATAATGGAAACAAAGAGAAGCTATCAATTACCAGCTTCCCTTAGTTTAATTATTAATTTGTAATTTGAAAAAAGCGTGTTAGAAATATTAACTTAAATAGGAAAAGTCTTCATTGATATAAACATCGACCACTGTAAATAATGCCGCGTCTGATTTCTAAAATATGTTTTATAGGAGACAGTAACTTCTACTCGAGTGCTCCAGTGGACTGGATACCAGATGATATGTGTGGAACTACGGAGTGGAGCGGCTGGTCAGAGTGCTCAGCTACTTGTGGTCTAGGCTTCAGGTTAAACAATATATAATCTATAATATTTATTTTGCTTGTTCTTCTGTTCTTTTTTGTATTCTATTTTGTAACCGATAAACGTCAAAACAGCTAAACCGATCGGAACCAAATTTTTTATGGGACCTCACATGGTCTCAGGGAAGGTTTAAAGATGCTCAGAATTACAAAAAGTTGCCTTCAAAATTTGATTTTCGTAAAATTTTAAAGAAAGTGTTGAAATTATACTTGTTTATAGCCCAACTTTCCAAGGCCAACTCATTTAAAAAATCAGACCGCAAACTATTTAGGGAGTAGGAAGGATTGAAAAATTACAAGAAAGGGTCGGAAAAAAATGTAAAAAAATAGTTTTCTTGTTTTTAACAAATATTACATTTTTCTGTAAGTCCAGTTTTCAAGAACTTTTCAAAAATGTACTTTTTAGATCTGTAGCTTTAGTCACAACAAAGTTATGGACTATTTCAGATTTTAACACAGACCGGAATTTTAACTACCCTGTATTTAAAAAAAAATTTAAATCCTTGAGATGTCTTAAAAGACAAAAGATTTCATTGTTTTTTTTATATTTTTAAAGGGACTATTCCTGACAATTTGGACGAATCATCCAAATTGCTGTACTCGAAGGAATTAGGATGGTTTAGCCAGCCTCAGAGTTGGTGTCAAAAATGACACTGCTAGGGCAAAAAAAAAGAGGCAGGGGGGCCTCGACCATGGACTGTTAATACCAGAAATATTATTAATAAATACAAGAAGATTCTTCATTTAGGAATTATTTAGGATCTTGGCAACAAGATGCCGTATTTAATACCAGTAATGTTTAGGATCCGGACCAGAAGATTCTCCATCTAATACCAGTAATGTTTAGGATCCGGACCAGAAGATTCTCTATCTAATACCAGTAATGTTTAGGATCCGGACCAGAAGATTCTCTATCTAATGCCAGTAATGTTTAGGATCCGGACCAGAAGATTCTTTAACCGGATGGGGAGGAAGCAGTGTCCTCATGTAGAAACTGTTATGAAAGAGGTTCTCTTATACTTCATGATAATAAACCCAACCAAAACCAAACTAACCAGTCTAAACCAAACCAAACAAAAGCAAAACTTATCAATTTAAACCAAACCAAACAAATCCTAACTATAGCCCCAAACTAAAATAAACCAAACCAAACCAAATTAACCTACACTAAACTAAAAAACCCCAATTTTAGCAAACCAAACCATACCTTGCCAAGCCAAACCAAATTAAACCCAACAACACAAATAAACCAAAATTAAATCTAGATATTCAACCAAACCTTTAGCCTAAGTTAACCAAACCAAACCAAATCAAACATTATCTAATCAAGCAACTTATCAATCTAAACTTAGCAAAGCCAATTCAACCCCCTTAAAACCATTCTACCTAACTTAATTACGATCAAACAAAACATATACCGAACCCCAAAACAAGGCAAAACGCTCCTAACCTAAAAGTGAAAAATTGACCTATCCAAAACCAGAAAAAAAATATCAAATCTGTTTAAATATTTACTTTAAAGGAATAATACACCGAAGCAAAACTGTGAAGAATTCATTATAAATACAAAAAAAAAAATCTATATATAGGAAAATATGAAGGGTTGGCGTAAAAATAAACACAATTCCAGCTCTCTTCCCCTAAATGTTGAATTTGTAACTTTTACTTTTTAGTGTAGAGGGTTGCGCTCGTTAGAAGTAATGATTTGGATATACTAATGCTTGTTTTACAGGAGTGTGGAGGGAGTCAGAATGAATGTCTGGCCGGTCAGATCGAGTGGATTGACCCGTCCTGTGCTGTTACAGAGTGGAGCCTTTGGTCACCCTGTAGTGTCAGCTGTGGCAGTGGTATTAAGGTAAATACAGGGTTACCAACAATGGATGAGACTAACCCTGTTTCTGTAGAAGGCAGTTTCAAAGTGGATTTTTGGTTTCTGTCGTCTTCAAATCAAATCAGACCAATACCCTACAATTAACGGAAGACGACAAAAACTAAAATCCGGGAAATCTTTGCAAAATAAACCACGATTGGTTGGTTAAGAAGTATCTATGAAAATGTGGATTATTAGATACCCTATTTTTAACCAAAAGACTATTTGATTTTGCCTTCTACCATTTAAAAAAAAAAAATATATGAGAATTTGTTGCGTTTCTTAAATCCGTAACCAACCCCTGTAAGACCCCTCCCCCCATTTTTTTTGTTTGAAACAGTTTTAACAAGGATTTTATCCTCAGAATTCATTTTCTTAAATCTTTCAACTTCAAACTATGTCAATTAAAAAAATTAAATGATTTAATTTTTCAAAAATTACGAACACTCTCCAAAAATTGTTCAATTAAACATACAAAAAAACATCATGGAATACTTTTTTGACTTTTAAAAATCAACAATCCCTAACTAAGGGATGTAGATTTTTCAATTTTTTCGAAACATGTCGACCCACTGAATATTGACCAGTTGCAGTTGTTTTTTCGAAATTGTGAAAATTGGTTGATCTGGGGCCAAAAAACAAACAAATTATTTTTGGAGGACTTTGGCAAATTTCCGTTTAAAAGTCTGTTTTTTCCTTTAACTTATTTATTCTTTTACCGATTTTTATGATTTTAGGACGATTTTTCGGTATTCAATATCGACATATTTTGAAAAAAAAAATTGCTTGCACAAATGATTTAGTATTTACAAAAGTTCATAGAAACTTTAAAGACACGTGCTGAGAGGATCTGAACATTTTCTATCTAAAAAGTGTCAAATGGTCCCACCCTTATATTATTTGCAGCTACAATGACCCATAAAGAATGTGGATAAAAAAAATGACGGTGTAGTTCTTTTCAAACTGCAAGTAGTTGATAGATGGCAGTAATTTATCAATAACGGTATATTCAGCAAATCGTACCTTCTATCAAAGTATAAACTGTTAGAATTGTATACATGCCAGATTCACAACAGTACCCTTTAAACCTTTAAAGGGAGTGTTCGCGAAAAATGAAAGGGGGTATAGGCTTAATGCGATAAAAAAGCGCTTTTGATCGCTACTAATCTTACTTCTATCTGTTGCGTCTATAAGGAGAACGACTAATAGCGAAGAACGCAGTGTCCATGTAAATTTAGAAAGATGCAACATACGACTTAGACCGTAAAAAAATCTATTTAATTTCGAACAAATCATTCAGATATTACAACTTTAGTCATCGATTATCTTTCGCCACATTTGTATATAGTTGATTTTGAAAAATATATTATGAAAACAGATAGAAGTAAGATTAGTAGCAATCAAACGCGCTTTTTTATCGCATTAAGCCTATACCCCCTTTCATTTTTCACGAACACTCCCTTTAACCGATCAAGGATGACGGAGAATTCCGTTTATAATATATAAATCTAGATAAAAATTTAAGGGACGAATACGAAAGTGATTTTGTTTTCTTCTTTATAAAACTCAAGGAATTGAGTCTTTGCCACAAACTCTGATTTTATAATTCCTATCTTTGCAATCCAATGTCGTAGACCTTAGATATTTCAAATTATGATTTCTGTTAGATCAAATAATCTAAGTTTAAAATATCAAAAGTTTACATGATTAGTTATGAAAGATATAGGGATTAGAAAAATTTGAATTAACTAGAAATTCAAGGCGCTTCGCCCCTTCTTTCTAGGCTTTTAGGGCGCTTCAAGCCCATCTTCTATTTAAATTGTGAACATGCTCTTTTTGTTTACATTTATAACCCCGTTTCTGTAAAAGGCAGATTCAAAAAATTCTTCGTGGAGTTTTGGTTTCTGTCGTCTTCAAATTAAATGAGACCAATACCCTACAATTACCAGAAGACGACAAAAGCTAAAATCCCGGAACTCTTTGCAGAAGGAGGTGAGGAAGGCCAGCCACAACAATTTCTCGTCCGAGCCACATTTTCCTCATTTTCTCGTCCGAGCCAGCTCGGAACCCTCGTCCTTCGATTACTTTGTGTAAAAAGTTTCCAATTCTTGAAGATAAAACAATTTTTTAAAAATCTGGCCACGTTAGGGCATAAGATATGGATGGACTAAAGTATTGCAATGATTTTATCATGTTGGTATCTTGAAACTCATGCGAATCATGTCAAACTTTATTTAGGAAAAACAATTAAATCTCTTCTGTCTCCGTAATGGCTAACCTTCGTGATATAAAATAAATAGCAAAATATTCGTCATACCTCTGCCTATAATTTTCCCCATGGAACCACCAGGAAAAATTCTATGGTTTTTACTATAGTTAACAAAAAAGATTGAAGTTCTATAAACTTGGAATTATTTGCGGCATTCTACACCAGGAATATCTGAAAATGCGCGGAAAAAGGTGAACATTTTTGAAGACATTAAACTTGAAATCTTTAATTCAATTGAAACTTTTTTTTTCGATTTACAAAAATTTGATATTTCATTTATGCCCTAACGTCGCTTGATTCTTAAAAAATAGTTTTATCTGGAAAGATTAGACACTTAAAAAAATAATATTGAAAGGACGAGGATTTTGAGGTGGTTCGGACGAAAAAATGAGGAGAATGTGGCTCGGACGAGAAATTGTTGTGGTTGGCCTTCCTTCCCTCGCAGAAGAAACCAAGACTGGTTGGTTAAGCTAGAAGTATCTATATGAAAATGTGGATTATTACAGTCCCTATTTTTAACCGAATGACTATTTGATTTTGCCTTCTGCCATTTATTTCTAAAAAAATATACAATAATTTGTTGCGTTCCTTAAACTCATAACCAATCCCTATAAAACCCCTCCCCCCCCCTTTTTGTTTGAAACAGTTTAACAAGGATTTTATCCTCAGAATTCATTTTCTTAAATCTTTCAACTTCAAACTATGTCAATTAAAAAAATTCAATGATTTAATTTTCTTACTTCTCTCTTATAGATATTCATAACCTGGGGACAATATGAAATAGTTTTCAAAAATTACCAACACACTGCAAAAAATTGTTCAATTAAACATACAAAAATACATTATGAAATATTTTTTGATTGTATTAAAAATGGGCCGGCACAAGCACTTTTAAAAATCAAGAATCACTAAGGAAGGGATGTCGATTTTTCAAATTTTTCGAAACATTTCGAAATTTGCGCATTTAACCACTGAATATTGCCCAGTTGATTTTTTCTGAATTGTGAAAATTGGTTAATCTGGGGCCAAAAAACAAATTTTTTTTAAGACTTTGGCAAATTTCTGTTTTTTAAGCCTTTAACTTATTTTTTTCTACCGATTTTTATGATTTTAACATTTTTAAATTAAGTGTTTCAAGACAGATTTTTGGTACCCATATCGACACATTTTGAAGAAAAAAAGATTTGCTTGTACTTATGATTTAGTATTTACAAAATTTTACATTTTTTACATTTTTTTTTAAAAAGTGTCAAATGGTCCCACCCTTATATTATTTGCAGCTACAATGACCCATAAAGAATGTGGATAAAAAAATGACTGTATAGTTCTTTTTAAAGAAAATCCACGAAATTTTTTGTAAAAATCCGCGAATTATTTTTGTTTTGTTTTACGATGTACACAAAGAAAACATGTTCACAATAAATTTAGAAGATGGGCGCGAAGCGCCCTCTAAGGCTAGTTTATATATAGATGGCAAAGTCCCAATTCATTTACCAATTGTTTACATTATTTATGTACAAGGTCCGGACTCGACTGTACAAGGTGACCCGTGAGGATCAGCTGAGAGCTGGCTGTGCTGTACAACTCATGCAGAAGGGTACGTGCTCCAGGAAAAGAGAGGTAATTTCATCAGAGCTGCATCCGTGTATCTTTATATAGAAGTATTCTTTTTTGTCTGTTTGTTTGGATCACAACTCATGAACCCCTGGTCCGAATTGTCTAACATTTTTATTGGGAAACTCTGTAAAACAAAGGAAATGTTTTTAGCCTGGTTGAAAATTCTAATATAGTGAAAACTCTAGGAAAAGCTGGGTTCCCAAACTCAGGAACCCATTGACCGATTTGTCTCAAATTTAGATTAAGGAACTCGGGCGAGCAACATGTTTGGGGTATTAAGTTAAGTGGGTCGACTTTAATGGCGAAAATTTAGTTTCCGGTAAAATCGTTCAATTGCAAGTAAACGGAGGGAGTAACAGGGTTCCTAAGCTAATCTATAATTAAGTAACTAAATACCTGATTAAAATTATGATTGTCTAGTCCAGATGTATCTCGCAAACCTCATGTCACAGGCCTTAGATAAATCAATAGAGAAAATTTAATAAAAGTAAAGGAATTGAGTCTTTGCAAAAAACTCTGATTTTATAATTCCTTTATCTTTGCAACCCAATGTCGCACACCTTGGATATTTCAAACTATGAATTCTGTTAGGTCAAAAAATATTACAGACAAAAGTTATGCCTTTGAATAATCCAATAAACAGAGACAAACGACCCCATTAACTTGATAATTGATTTAATAAGTTACTAAGTGCAATATTGGCTTTGTAACAACATCAAGTACACACAAGTATTGCTGTACTGTTGTCTTCCTATTCCACAGTGTTCTGGTTATCACTGTAGGATTCCGAGACACCCTGACTTGAAGACAAAATACAGGGTGTCCCAATTCATTGAGGACTTTTATATTGTCTTCCATCCATGTGACCTTTTTTCATGAACACAATTATTGTAGTATTCCAGTTTAAACATCTAATATCGAAAACGACTGGTCTTGATATTTCCAAAATGTGGTCTACCATTTTTGTATCTTCAAAATTGACGGAGATATTGGAAAATTTGTACAAAGGAACTGAGTTTTTGCCACAAATTATGATTTTACAATCGCCATATCTTTTCAACCGGATGGTGCAAACCTTTGATATTTCAAACTATCATTATTTGAACTAAAATGATTCATAGTTTGAAATATCTAAGGTCTCCGACATTCAAATGTAAAGATATAGGGATAAGAAAATCAGAGTTTGTAACAAAAACTCAATTCCTTTGAATTTATTTAATAAATCAAAATTGTCTTAATAAATGATATTTTCGTCAATTTTTAAGTTACAAGAAAGGTAGACCACTTTATAAAAGGCCCGTCAGACATACAGCCTCGTTTTTTTACTTTCTTCGCCATGCATTAAATATCAGAAATCAAAGACGACTTTCAAGTCGTCTCTCAATTCACATGTTTATTGGGACACCCTGTATTTCTAAAAAGAGAAACAGTAATGAGAGGACTAAAGTTGATCCTTATGATATATCATGTTAATTAGAGAAAAGTTTAAAAACTATTTTCTAATTTTTAAAGAATTAATAAAAGATTTACAAAAGGAAAAAAACTAAAAAGAATTATTTAATTTTATGCACTTCAAAACTTAGAAATACAATCTCTCAAGTTAGAATTGTAATTTCAAAATCTTACGTAAAACTATTTTCACTGAAAAAAAGTATAAATCTAAAAATAGGACATTTTGAATGTTTTGAATACGAACCACTTTTGAAAATATGCATGTTGCATTATAACAAAATAGAAAGAAACTGATAACTCTTCTCATACTTAAATGTTCTAAATCCATATCTTACAACCTTATATATTAGACATTTGATTTATTTCAAACGATGAATTCTGCTAGATCAAAATAGTCAAACTTTGAAATATTAGCTTTTAAAACTGGAGAGATTTTGATCAGGAGGAAAAATTATTTTCAAAAGAGTATACACCCCTGGATTAGATAATTAGAGGTTTGAAGCGAGTAATCTCTGTCTTTTTATGAAGTTTTGACTGTATCAGGGATGTGACTGGGGTGACTCTGATGACATCTGTGAACAAGAAATGGAAGTTGGTCCCTGCAGAGGATATTTTCTTAGATGGTAATATTTTCATATTTTTTCATGCAAAAAAAAATAAAATAAATTTTTGTGGTAATTCAAACAAATATTTTGGCACTGCTGTTTCTGAAACACAAAACTATGTTGTTAATGGGACACATGTACCCGGTCAGCTTAAGTTTGTTGCAAAAAACGCGCTGGGTCCACAGGTTTCCCCAGAAAGTCTGGTACGAAAATGTGTAAGAAGTACGGTTACACTATGGAGCCCACAACTTAAGACAGGGTATCGTTCTGAAAACCAGTTTTAAACCCCGGGTTTCACGAATGGGGTTAGGCAGTTTTGTGAATATGAATATTTTTGTTATGAAATATTATTTTATATTCAGTTTGCTTATATTCTCAATTTTTTTTCGAATCTCTTAAACAAAAATCTACACAAATGTTAAGACCCCAAAAAGGAAACTCGGGAGTCTTGATCAACGATACTCTTTTAAATTTCGGGCTCCTGTAACCGTACTTTGATCCTCGTACAGGTCCCCATCAGGCAACAATAGGAACCATGTGTGGAGGAATCAAATGAATCTAAGTATGTCCGGGCTATCATCATAAACTCATCAAATGAATCTAAGTATGTCCGGGCTATCATCATAAACTCATCAAATGAATCTAAGTATGTCAAATGAATCTAAGTATGTCCGGGCTATCATCATAAACTCATCAAATGAATCCATCATAAACTCGGTCAAGTTTTTATCTGTAATTTAAAAGAAAACATGAAACAAAGCATTATGCTTATTTTGACGGCGCGGATAAAGAGAAAAGTTTTAAAAGATCAACCTGGAAAGTTAAATCGCTTAGGAAATATGTTGTATACAATGCAGATGCATTAAAGCATCTATTACATTTATTTACATATGTACTATGTACGTTACAGGTACATTTCATTTATTGCGTACATTATTTTTTTCTGAAAGGAAATTTAAGAATTTGGAAAATTCTTATTATTTATAGGCTTAAAATCATAAAATTTGTCACCAGTATAAGTTTTTAACTATAATCTTGCCACAAACTCTGATTTTTCCACGCTTTATCTTTGCAACCCGATTTCGTAAACCTTTGATATTTCAAGTAATATTAAGTTAGATCAAAAGTTTATGTTTAAGATGTACAAAGGTTTACACTATTAGGTTGCAAAAATAGAGGGTTTATAAACTATTAGTTTGTGTAAAGAACTCTTTGTCACCACGCACTAAACGTTTTAAAATATTTGAGTTTGACAACAGTTTGAAAATTATTCTGAATTACAGATCAAGTTTTAAAACGTTCTCTGAAATTTTAATTTCAAAAGTGGAATGAAAATATTTTCTTTCTTCAAACTTTGATAATTTCTATGTTTAAGATTGTATTTTTATATGTTTAAGGTTAAACTTTTCAGGAAAAGGGGTTGGAAAGAAGTTAATGAACAAATTTAATTTATCTCTTGGATCTGCCCATATTAATACCATGTTATTATAAATTCGGGTCAATCGTTAAAGTAGGATAGTGGTAACCCCCTAACTCTCAAATCCAATGATTAGGTCACGTGATCAGTTCCATCTATCTATTATCAGCCCAATTTACACTATCCATACATAAATTTATAAGTAATAAACCGAGAACCGAGAAACCTATAGCAGACCATCACACATTTTTTTCACATTTAACTGCTATACAATTACTATTTGCTCATGCTATCTTTATCGTGGGTTAAATTTGGGTCAAATGCTGCGGCTAGGATGGGTGGATTTTTTTTAAACGGTAAATTTCGATTTGTGTCTGCTTAAAATTGCACTAACTTGTAAAAAAATACGTGTTTTGATGTTTTTAAATGTTGTCTTCTGAATTTTGAAATTTGAATTTTGATAAAAAAAATTGAGTTTGTCCAGCTAATTCCGTTAACAATTTGAAACACCGAGGTTAACGCTGTTAATACTACAAAAGACCGCAAAGACTGTACAATTAACGATTTTACAACCGCTAACGAACTTTCTTGGGCGCTTCGAGTCGTTTATACTGAAATAGATCAATAAGGGCTGTGCCGTTAACAATTTGTTTAAGTGCTTTGCGCTGTTAATACTGAAATAGACCGCTAACGGTGGTTCCTTTAACAATTTTTAACCATTAATTCGTTATTGATCATTAAAGACGGGAGCCGTTAACGATTGTTGAACATTTTTCGTTGACGTCAATATAATTGAGATCGTAAAATAACGGTAATTTAAAAAAATGGTAAATGCCGTTAAAGAAACGAAAGTTCCATTCTTACCCTTTAAATTAACGGCTACCTAAAATTTTTCTTTTTTAACGGTTGAAATTAACCATTAACGAAACGGCTAGAAAAAGTTTGAACGTGGCCAGCCCTAGGCCTGTAATCTCATTTTGTCGACCTGAAATGAAAAAATGAATAAAAACTTTTTCTAGGCTTAGTTCTGCTCCGCACAGTTTAATTAATTTAAGTTTAATCCCTAAAATCCTCCCTTGGACTTTAATAAAGATGCCAACTTCAGCTTTAAGATTATTCAGAGACCGGAACTTTTGTATTGTTAATCCTTTTATAAATTAATATTTTGTATCTGTTGTGCTCCTCCAACGGATTAAGTAAATCCTCTCCTGGTTTTCACTCTAAATAATGATCCAACAATAAAATATATTTTCACTGATTAAATTCTTGATTGCTTTAAAGGGACTGTCCTTGTTAGTTGTAGTGATCCTCTGTTTAAAGGGACTGTAAGCGTAATTTCAAGGAACCCTCCATGCACAGATTGCAATGCCCGATTCACAACGGATAAAAATAAGGAAGATATTTTTGTTTTTCTTGCTCAAAAGTGTTTCTTTCTGAATGTTAGTTCTGTTAGGGTGCAGAAGAATTGCGAAAGTCACTTCCGAAAATAATAATCAGTTTTTATAATTCTTATATTTTATCCATGGTTTCTGAAACAAGGAATACGCAAGTCACTGTTAAGTTGTAGGGAAAACCTAAATGAAAATAATCAGTTTTATAAAACAAAAACGTGTATATCTAATTCATACTTGATTAAACAAAGCTTTAAAGGGTTCCGTTGTGAATGCAACTAAATCAATGAAGGGTCACTTGAAATTATGTTAACAGTCAGTTTGAGGTAAAAATCCATGAATGTGGATTTTAACTTTATATTATGGAGCTTTCAAAAACAAGTTCAAACAACAGATAGAACAAAATATGTTGTGATTGAAACAAAGGGGAAGAAAGTTCCAAACGGTGATTTGGCCCAGACCTGACACTAAGAGCCAGGTTTGGGCCACATGTGCAAAATTATCTTTTTAAATTGTTTATATAAGTCAATTTTAGTCGAAAAGTAAAAAGCCGTCTGCATACTTTAATTTAGAAAATTTAAGGCTATATTTTTATAAAAAAAAATTAAGTACTAAATCCCTTCAAATAAATAAATTCAAATTTTGATGATAATTGATTTAATTTAAGAACATGTCACATTTTTGAAGAAAATGCAATGTTTGGGTGCGAAACACTTAATTGACTAAACCTTGGATATTTCAAGTTTAGATTATGAAATTCATAGTTTAAACTATCATAGGTGTAAGCTGCTATAGGAATTATTAAATTTGAGTTTGTGGCAAAAACTCAATTCCTTTCTAATCAATCCCCTTTTACACTGATTTCTCATTAATCTTCAGGTTTTTACTTTCCAATACTTGACTCCTCCTAAACATTAAAAACAAAACAAAAAGAAATATTGCATTATTGCATAATCCATGATATAATTAGCAATGGTTTTCTGCATAACTATCAATGATTTTCCACCTATTAATTGAGATTTTAAAAACAATGAATTTCTAAAATAAAATTTTTAATTCAGGTATTACGAGAGCAGTACACAAACATGTAAACAGTTTACTTTTGGTGGATGCAGGAACATATTCTTTATTTTTGAAATAAAATGTACAACATTTTAAATGTCTAAGGAATTTAATGTTTTCAGCGTTTTAAACCTTTAAGCGTTTTCAACGTTTCTACGATCTTAACGTTTAAAGGATTTTAAACTGTTTGAAATTTTCAATGTTTTTTAACAATTTCAACGTTCCCATTATAAGAAGCACAAAAGCATATTAATGTTTTTTTGTAATTTATTTGTTTTAAACATATTGAAGATTTATCTTTTTTAACTATTGCTCTTTTTATTCCATTTTCTATTTCTGAAATATATTGTTAAAACTTGAAAAACTTTAAAAGAAGTATTTCTGGAAAATGGATGGAACCCAACTAACGAGAAGAAAAATTGAAGAAAAATTTAAGAAATGAATTATGTTCAGAGGGAATTCAAACAACTTTCTTCGCCTAGAAGACTGTGAGAAGGTTTGCTTGAAAACAAGAAAAGGTAAATTTTTCAAAAAGATTTAAATTCTCCAATCTCAAGATAAGTGAAATTTATCTTCCTCGCCTGTCTTTATTCTAAAGTGGGATATCCACGTAATATTAAAATAAGATTAATGATCTTTTTAAACCAGAAAATATTGAATCTCTGGGGAGAGCACAGGCACCAAACTTGACAAATGATAAGTCAAAAGATTGTTTAATTATTTATCATTTAGGAAATTTGTAACGCTTCGTGATAATTTTTCTATTTTCTATTTTATACTTGATTTATGGATGGAAAGAAGGACCTCTATTTGACTGTCTAGATGGGAAGATTTGCCTCTGTTTGATTTCTAAAAGAAAAGAATGACCTCTATTTGATTGTCTAGATGGGAAGATTTGCCTCTGTTTGATTGTCTGAATGGGAAAAATTACCTTTATTTGATTGTCTAAATGGGAAGAATGACCTCTATTTGATTGTCCAGATGGGAAGAATGACCTCTATTTGATTGTCTAGATAGGTAGAATGACCTCTATTTAATTGTCTAGATGGGAACAATTACACCTGTTTAGCTGTCTAGATTGGAAGAATGACCTCTATTCGAATGTCCAAATGGGAAGAATGACCTATATTTAATTGTCTAGATGGGAAGAATAACTCCTATTTAAATGCCTAGTTGGGAAGAATGATCCCTATTTATTGTCTAGATGGGTAGAGTGACTTCTATGTAAATGTCTAGATGGGTAGAGTGACTTCTATTTAAATGTCTAGATAGAAGAATGACCTCTTTTCAAATGTTTAGATGGAAAGAATGACCTCTATTTAAATGTATAAATGGGAAGAATGACCCCCCTTTAATTGTCTAGATGGGAAGAATGACCCTCTTGTAATATCGAGAAATCTGTTGACGGACACCTCCTTCATGGCCGCCCTGGACGTGTTGGCTAAGAGTAGAAAGCAGGAGAGTGCGGAGGGGATGAATGAGGTCTTTAAGGAGATAGAAGAGCAAAGACAGGTTTAATACTATAATTATATATCAAAATTTAGAAGAAAAAAAACCTCACTAAGAGCCAGGGTTGGGCCACATGTGCAAAATTATCTTTTTAAATTAAGTGTTTATATCCAGGTTTTCTTAAACTAGTGTTTATATCCAGGTTTTCTAAAACTAGTGTTTATATCCAGGTTTTCTTAAACCAGTGTTTATATCAGGTTTTCTTAAACTAGTGTTTATATCCAGGTTTTCTTAAAGGGACTGTAAACAAATTTCAAGTGATCCTTGATTTATATAGATGTCCGATTCACAACGGAAAACATAAAAGCTCTAAATGAACAACAATGAATGAGATTTCAATGCTTTTCACTTCTTAAAATTGATTAATTTCAATTGTGTTTTCTCTTTAATAGTGATATTTGTTGATTTTTGGTGTGTAAAAACAATGTAGAAAATTGTCAGAATTGAATACTTGTCAAGCTAGACGCGGTATCTACAGATAAAGCTGTTTTAAAGCCAGCTTTATGAACCAAGCATAGGGTCCCTATCGATTAATGTTTCTAGTCTGTTTTCTTAAACTCTCATTTTCATCAACTACAGAGAGAACCAGAAAACTGTGGAATAGGAAGGCGACATTATTGTAATATAAAACAAATAGTTTTACCAGTAAATTATTAAATTACTTTTTTAAGTGAGATGGGTCTATTTTAGGGTTTCGAATCGGAATTACGTCGCGAGGAATTGCGCGCAATGATTGCTTCCGCTTGCGCCATTTCATTGCGCGGAATGCGCTTTAATTTCGAACAAGGAAGCAATTTACTATTCGCGAGAATGGGTCGAATTGCGTGCAACGGAATTGCTTTTCCATCTTAAAATCAACAATTTTAACTGGGACTTTAAAATTTATTCAGCAGATACAAGAATGGAAATATATCTGTAGGTTTTAAAAAGCACTTGCTTCAACAGTTTTCAAATTAAAGTTTCTTGTGATTAAGCAACTACTAATTAACAATTTAATATGATACATTTTTCATTTTCACTTTGAATGAATATTAAAATGGAAACTTTTTTGGTTCAAATTGTATGGTTCGTTTAAATTCAATTCTGTTGGGTTTATTGCGCGAAATTATTTGGGAATTGCACGCAATTAAATTTACTCACAAGCAAAATCAACTTGCGTTGGAAATCCTAGACTATGTTTACACTACAAAATCGCTTTGGATTCTTAAAATTCATAACTTGAGTCTAAACGTCATATTCCAGAGTTTTAACGCTCTCTCTGTAGTTTTCTTCGAATATAAATTTAAAATCCTAATATTCTGAACCAAAGATAAAATCCTAGTTTTCTCAGACTAAAAGTGTTGAAATGAAATAATCAAACTGAAAAGAATTCAATAATTAAATTCCAACTCTGCGACTGATGTCCATAAAGCTGTTCCTAGTTGTTAAAACTTAAAACTTTTTCAATTTCCAAATTTTCGTTGGATTTCAAACTTTAAAACTAACTGAATCCGACTCATAGAAAACCATATCAAAGACGAAACAGAACAAGTGAATTATTTTATTATATGAGACATTTTGACAAGATATCTGTTCGGAGCTCAAAAGTCTTTAATATATTGAATCTTTGATAAATATACATAGATTTTAATATGCTATTGTACAATGTCCTTGATATATTTTATCTATGATAAGTATATGCATATGCTACTATGCTATTGTACAATGTCCTTGATATATTGAATCTATGATGAGTATATGCATAATGTCCTTGATATATTTAATCTATGGTAAATACATGCATATGCTACTATGCTATTGTACAATGTCCTTGATATATTTAATCTATGATGAGTACATACAGATGCTTCTTCCCTTTCATTTCCTTGGAATTTAAAATATTCAACATTTTCAATCATATCATTCTTGATCAATTCAGCAGCTTACACTCAATCCATCATTAATCCTTCCTTTTTCAACATTTTTTCATTTTTTATATCCTTCCTTTCAAATTTTTTTTTTGCCGTTCATTCTTTATCCATCCTCCTAAACATATTTCATCCTTCATTCTTAATAAATCACTAATCCATCCTTTTTAACATCTTTCATCCTTCATATATTCTTAATTCATCACTTATCCATCCTTTTTAACATCTTTAAACCTTCATATATTCTTAACTTATCATTAATTCATCCTTTTAAACATCTTTCACGTTCATATATTCTTATCTCATCACTAATCCATCTTTTTTAAAATCTTTCATCCTTCATATATTCTTAATTTATTATTAATCCATCCTTTTGAATATATTTCATCTTTCATTCATTCTTTATCCACCCTCAATCCATCCTTTTCAACATCTTTCATCTTTCATTCTTTCTTTCATTCATTCTTAATTCATCCTTAATCCATCTTTTTGAATATATTTCATTTTTCATTCATTCTTTATCCACCCTTAATCCATCCTTTTCAATATCTTTCATTCTTTCGTTCATTCATTCTTAATTCATCCTTAATCCATCCTTTTCAATATATTTAATCTTTTATTCATTCTTTATCCACCCTTAATCCATCCTTTTCAACATCATTCAACCTTTATTCATTTTATCCATCCTTCATTCATATTTTATCCATCAGTTTATTCTTTTATTTTAGCAGCCAATCCTTGATACCAAAAATTGAAACTTTAGGCGTAAATTGAGGATGATTTTTTTAAAGAAATTTGACTGTAATGAATTTAACTTTTAGGTTTATCTTCTATGGTGAATTTCTGTTTTCAAATAATGAATTGCGGAAAAGTTAGCCTTCTGTTTTTTCTTTTCATTTCAAGACAGAATCATCATCTATCTCTGGGTTGTATTAGACCTGGGGAATTATCTATCAATCTCTAGGTTGTATTAGACCTGGTGAATTATCTATATATCTCTAGGTTGTATTAGACCTGGTGAATTATCTATCTATCTCTAGGTTGTATTAGACCTGGGGAATTATAATCTATTTCTAGGTTGCATTAAACCTGGGGAATCATCATCTATATCTAGATTGCATTAGACCTGGGGAATTATCTATCTATCTCTAGGTTGTATCAGACCTGGGGAATTATCTATCTTTCTCTAGGTTGTTTTAGACCTGGGGAATAATCTATCTATCTCTAGGTTGTATTAGACCTGGTGAATTATCTATCTATCTCTAGGCTGTATTAGACCTGGAGAATGAAGAAAGGAATCTGGGAATATTTTTTAATAAACGAGGTCAGCTAGAGGCAGCTCAACAGAAGCTTATGATGATGGAGAAACAGGTAGAACTAGATCTAGAACTAGATCTAGAACTAGAACTAGAACTAGAACTAGAACTAGAACTAGAACTAGAACTAGAACCAGATCTAGAACTAGATATAGAAAAAAATGCCCCCTACAGTATTTTTTATAACCTACACTCTTTAAGCAAACTCAAATTCAACTATAACATTTTTCAATATAACCTCGGATTCTTTTTATTTTCACCCTACCTTTAAAAAATGCCTCCAAATTTGGATTCTTTAAATTACACTCACATGCATTCTTATTAAAATTGTCCACCAGACTTCAATTTGCCCCTTTATTCATTATGTGTAACCCTTGTTTTTTTTAGAATGCCACCAAATTTTTAATTTGCACAGCCCTTTCTAAAAAAATGCCTCTTATTTTATTTGATAATGCTAAAAATATCAAGAAATTTTACCCCAACAAAAAAATATCCCATACTTTAAAAAAATGCCCCTTTATATATTTTTAAAATGCCCATTTATATATTTTAAAAATACGCCTTTATATATTTTACCCCCCCCCTTAGCTGAAGAAATAAGTCCCGCTAAGTTTTCTGTAACGGTGTTACAACTTCCGTAAGGTTGCCCACTTGAACCTTAGATATTTTATCTTTTATTTGAACAAATACACAGAATGCTTTTTATTCATACCTATAAATATGAATATTTTCTCCACAGAGGTATTTTTTATGTTTTTTGTTTCAGGTGATGAAAAAGAAGCAAATGGAAATGTTTCAACAAAAGCAGGAAAATATCAGATTTGTTAAAAACTAAAAACTAACATTCTCGTCCAAGCACGCGTAGGACGCTTTGGCGCAAAACATGTTGTTTTTATGTATCAATCATACTTTTATACAAATCCGCAAAATTATTGTCAAGCGAAAAATGTCAGCCCATTCAATCCAGCCGTTTGGCCGGCTATAGGCAACATATATATACAAATGCCTTGTTTTATTTTATAGACTATAGCTTTGAAACCCAGCTCTACCNTGGAACTAAATATTTCCTGATGTCAACCTACTTAACTTGGAACTAAATATTTCCTGAAGTCAACCTACTTAACTTGGAACTAAATATTTCCTGAAGTCAACCTACTTAACGTGGAACTTTTAAATTAAATTAAGAACATTCTCGTATTTCAACTTCTTTCAGCTTCCCTTCTTTCCATGTTTCTGTGTATCCATGCTGTTTTAAAGCTCAATAGAAATAAAATTTATAATCGAAAGTCGTCTTCGTTGTATTGATATATACGACGACGACTGTAGTTAAAATCAAACCATTCTGTTGCCTAAAACCAGTTCTGTAATATTTACATATTTCAAATAGTTCTGATAATTGTACTGCAGAGAATGATGGAGAAAAGGGTAGAAACTAGTCCGTATGACAGGAAACCGTTAAACAGTGATTAATAAGTAAAGGATTCTTTTTAGTTCTAAGTAGAGAAGATACAACGAACCTAGATCCGGAATGATTTGAAAAGTTTCCCCGATTTTTAAGACACAATCGACTTGAAAATGTCACAACGCCACATTTATCCCACATAAATCGTAAATAAACGTTGCGCAACTCAGGCGGAGAATTTTATGTGTGCGCAAAAAAATGATGTCTCTAAGCTAATAATGTCGGAGAGAAATATGCTACATCATGTATATGAACTTGTGAAATATGCTACATCATGTATCTGAACTTGTGAAAAATCTTAAATTCGCGGATTCATGATGAGAATAAATCAGAAGAAATGCCGTAAGATTACAGTTAACAACATTTTGTAAAATGTTCCTTTTTAATCAAATATCTACATCACTAAACAGACAGAGCTATGACTTGTTTACATTTTACTCTGACCAAGGAGTATGAAATAGAAGGGAGATACAACTGACGCGGCCCGCCCTACCATATGATTTTACATGCTTTACAGACGGTACTCCATTTGTATAAGAAATATTCAGAATAGGTTATTGTATACGTGGTAATTGTACATGAGACAAATATTTCTTATAATGAAGTACCGTCTGCAAAGCATGTATAATCAATAATCATGGTAGGGCGGGCCGCGTTAGTTGTATCTCTCTTCTATTCCATACTCCTTTACTCTGACGTATTAGAACAACTCTATAACTAGTTTATTGTACACAACAACAACGAAATATCTTAATATACGCTATGGCATAAATATAAACAAATATTTTCATAGATTTACTCTCAACACTGTTATACTGGTTTATTAGAGAGTTTTCCGACCCCCCGGCTTTATCCTATGAGTACCCTGATCTAGCAACACTAAACGCCCCTTCAGACTTACACGTGAAGTACGCTGACGCCCCTGAGTACAATGACCCCCCTGGGATGTCGATGAAGCCTGGATTTGGTCCAACATTGGTTTCTAATACATCTGTTACTTCCCAGGTATAAATAGATAGGTAGACATATAGATAGATAGATAGATAGATAGATAGATAGATAGATAGATAGATAGTTTTAATTATTAGTTTTCAGTACCCCAAATCATAAAGTTGTCAAATGGTTTTAGTAAGTCAAAACTTAATAGTTTTATTATTTTTCTTATTTTCTAAATATTACAGGATTGTGAGCTAACCTCATGGTCTCCCTGGTCTTCACAATGCAGTACAACATGTGGCAGGGGGTTCAGGTAGTACATTACAGTACAATACAGTACAATGCAGTATAGAACAGTACATTACAGTATACAGTGCAGTACAGTATAGTGCAGTACAGTACAGTGCAGTGAAGTACAGTATAGTATAGCACAGCGCAGTACAGTACAGTGCAGTACAGTACAGTACAGTACAGTACAGCACAGTACAGTACAGTACAGTACAGTACTACAGTGCAGTGCAGTACAGTACAGTACGGTGCAGTAAAGTACAGTACAGTACAGTGCAGTGCAGTGCAGTGCAGTGCGGTACATTACAGTGCAGTCCAGTACAGTGCAGTACAGTACAGTACAGTACAGTATAGTACAGTAAAGCTCAGCACAGTACACTATCGTACAGCAGTGTATGAAAATATCAAATTTCACAAAATACTTTTAAAAGCACATTCAGAAACAACTGGCTTTTCACGCTTAACTTATTCTTTTTATCCGTTATCTTTATAAATTGTTGGATAGTTTAGTCAAGATTTAATGTATTTTATTTTAAATCTATTAGTCAAATCGTTAGAAACCTTTAACATGAAAATGTAAGGCCCAACAAAAAGTAAATAACAAAGAACAAAAATTTACAACTAACAAGAGAAAACTTGGTTGTAGATTTGGGATTTCCGAAATGTGATCAGCTATTTATAAGATTCAAAGTAGTAACACATTTTGGAAAACTATGAATTAGTACAATATACTCTTAAAAGCTGTTGGTAATTCAAAGACAATCATCTCAATTTCCATCTGATGGAGACCCTGTACTCGACCTTGAACCTAGCTCTGTTTGCAAACTGGTTTTTTTTTCAGACACAGATTCCGGCAAGTTTCTCGCCCCGCCATCGGCGCCGGTCGATCTTGTAGCCGAAAACTTGAACGGAAGAAGAGATGTGATCTACCTGCCTGTCCACAGCCTTGTATACCACAACCCTGGGGTTCCTGGGGACCATGTTCTCGTACATGTGGTACAGCTGGGGTTCAGCTCAGATATAGGAAGGTAAATATTTGGAAAAATGCATCATTTATAACTGATTTGCTTGATATGTAATCAAAAAGTTTAAATTTTTATTCAGCCCGTGTTCATTTGCAGGGTGTATAATACTGTATTCTATATAGTCACAGACTACACGGACTGCTCATACACTGGATAGGCTGAGCAGGCCTATAGTGTCCCGGCACGTCATGCTACGGTTCCATGTAATGTTTTTTGACTGACATCTCTCGGCCATTCAGGGGTTAAATTTTACAACTTTTAAAGAAATACTCCAATTTTAATCATGAAACATAACGTTTATGAATAAATTGTCTATTTTTAAAGATTTTGCATTTCCTATTCAAAGGATCCTTAAATATCCTTGAATACAGATGTCTCCTGATTGGTGTCCTTTACTTGTACAAATAGAACATGCTTTGGAAAATATCGCATATTATAGGTGTTAATCGATCTCTGTAACTCTCTTATCTCTGTGTATAGTGTATACAGTATGTGCAGATATAGTGTAAAATATTATGTACAGGGTGTATCTCCCGGGACTGTCCAATATTATGTGTTCAGGGTGTATTTGCGGGTACAGTACAATGTTATGTGAAGGTTGTAGCTTCCAGTTCCAGGACAGCACAATATTATGTACAAGGTGTTTTTGCCTGGACAGTACAATATAATGTACAGGGTGTATATGTCGTGACAGTACATTATTATGTTCAGGGTGTATCTGCCGTGAAAGTACAATATTATGTTCAGGGTGTATCTGCCGTGACAGTACAATATTATGTTCAGGGTGTATCTGCCGTGACAGTACAATATTATGTTCAAGGTGTATCTGCCGTGACAATACAATGTTATGTTTAGGGTGTATCTGCCCTGACAGTACACTATTATGTAAAGGGTGTATCTTCCGTAAAAGTACAATATAATGTTCAGGGTGTATCTGCCGTGACAGTACAATATTATGTTCAGGGTGTATCTGCCGTGACAGTACAATATTTTGTTCAGGGTGTATCTGCCGTGACAGTACAATATTCTGTTCAGGGTGTATCTGCCGGTTGTCTAAGGGTGGTTGAGGGTGAGGATATCGAGGAGTACGAGAATAGAGGAGATGGTGTAGAGAAACAAGAAAGAATCTGTGCTCTACCCTGCTGTCCAGGAGATAACACGTGTTAATACTTATGTTAAACACGTGTCTAGGGGTCATCCTTTCATGAACATTTGAATCATCAATTCTTTGGATCATATAACATTAAAGGGAGGGACTGGCTGGGCAATGCATCAAATGAATCCATTAATCTGCAGTTTCAGTTTCTAGCCAGTGTCTCTCTTTAAAAAACTGTTTCCATTGTCATGTTTACTTTTTTATCTAATCATTAATATTTAAAGGGAGCCCTTATGAAAACAAAATGAGGGTAGGATTAAAAGATGATCCAATTATCAATAGATTGGTAAAGTTTCTATCCAATGTATTCACTAAGATGAGTGTATAATAAAATGTACTGAATTATGGTTGCCAATTAATTTAAACATTTTCCTTCATGACTTATTTGATCAATTTTATGGATTGGTATTCAATCCATAATTTGTTTACTACAGTGAGAACCAGAAAACTCTGGAATAGAAGGACGACATTTAAGTATTGTTGAATTGTATTTGATGTTGTTATAAAGCTTAATAATTTTACTAGTAACAAATGTAATATGCTTACACTGCACAATCAAATGTTCATTGGACCATTAAAAGTCATAAATTGCGTCTAAAAGTCGTTTTCCTAGTTTTCTGGTTGTCGCCAACGATGTTGTATAATTTCTACTATATCTCCGTCTTTTAATTTAAAAATAATTTCTTTTTCCCCTTAACTGTCTTTAAGTCCTTAAGACAAGAATCTGAGAAACATTAATACAGGATTACTCACAAAGGACGGACTTCAGAGACGACTGTACGGAATTTATTCAGTCTGATTCCTTATATATTCACGATTCCGTGCAACTGTGAACTTGTTCGTTTCTTTGTCAAACCTTTAAATAAGCTGTAAAATAACTTTTATACATAATTTAATATTGTGATCTCTCATTTTAAGAGTTTCTGGTCGTCTTTACAAACTCATTCTTTGTGTTTTACCCTGTATATGTTTATAATGTATCCTATTTAAATAATTAATGTATTCATGTACAGTGTAAATAGAAAATAAAATCCTAACAATTTATGGAATGGTGTTTCTTTCGACCTACGCACATTCGATATACTACACTTCTGACCTACTCACACGTGTTTTTACAGCTGCTTGTTGGTCATGCATTGGCCGAAGAACCCAATCCCTAGCCTGTCCTCAGGTCGCAGCGCATGGCCCAGAAATTGTTTAACCTAGCCTAAACTACACAAAATAATATTCGTCTATAAGGATGTATATTGCAGTAGGTCGGAAAGTCAGTTGGTCAGAGGTTTAGTAGTGAGGAAGTTGCGTATAGACGATGATAATTCTGTTCGAAAAATCCGACCAGAAACATTTTTATCCTATTCAGTCACCAAGTAAACCTTCTTTAGAAAATATTTTCAAAATAAATGTCAAAATGTCAACATCGAGATTTTAAATTTCAAGTTCTATGATATTTTGCATAATGTCTTGATCATTTATCTATAAATATTCCGAGATGGAATTTAAAGAATTTGAGCCGCGGTTTAAATTCGCCAAAATCCGCCAAAACCCGGTTTAAATTTAGCGCCGGCTTAAATCTTGAAACATTTGATATGGAACCAACCATATTTAAGCCGTGGCTTAAATTTAAACCGCCGCTCAAATTCTTTAAATTCGGCCACCGGCGAAATAAATATGAAAACTATTGAAAACTTTGAACTAAAGATACATAGCATTAATTTGGTGACCTAACTATGCTCATTGTCTGGCAAAAAGGTAAAATTAATTCTTAACTCAGTAATCATACATCGAGGAAACGTTTTATACGTCTCAAATGAATCCTAGAGAATTTGTCCACAACACTGCATACTCATTTTAACTAACTTACATAGCCGGTCTTTCCGTTTAATAATGGTAAGACTTTGTGGCCTATTGTAGCTCATATAGTTTTATTGATATAAGAAATTCATAATGATTGAAACCATGAAGGTATTCAATCTTACTTGATATTTGCTTTAACTTATCGTGAAAAATAAATATAAATTTTAGACGAAAGCCTAACTTATTGTTCGTAAAATCCAATTAATATTCTCACTAAATACAGTGTGTCCAATAAACATAGGAATTAAATGACGACTTCTATATCGTCTTTGTTCCAAGCGGGATATGGTCTATCATTTTTTCAAGTTTAAAATTGACAGAATTGGAAAATTTGTCAAGATTCCAGTTAAGTAAAATCAAGAAAAATCAAGATACAAAGAAGGTAGACCACATTTTGGAGAGCTCATTAGACGTTCAATCTTTTTTGATCAATTTATTTCATTTATCAATCATCTAAAATTAAAGACGACATTCACTTTGTCCCTTAATTCACGTGTTTATTGGGACACCCTGTCCCAATTCACAAATATATGTTTTTAAGAGAACAAATCTACGGACACGATGTTTTGAAGTCTACATCAAGTTTTGTAATTAATATATTTTTAGAATTAAAAATCTATTTATTATCAATTATACATAAAAATTTATTATATATATTAAATAATTTCATCAATATTAAGGATTGGAAGAATATTGAAAGCCATTGAAACATAGGGCAGGCAATTGCATTGTTTCTAACAATTTGAATAAAATTTAATAAGTTCCGTCAACTTGTTTTTAGTGACCCTCCAGTCGACGATTCCCAACGCTACCTATCTCGTTTGTCTATCTTCAAAAAAGCATTCTGGCAAATTTTGGCATTGTATCTGCAGCCTAAATCCGCTAATAATTGTGACAAATAAACACAATTGAAAATAATCAATTCTCAAATAGAAAAATAACGATATCTTTTCATCATGGACAAACAAGTGTTTGAAGGTTAACGTTGTGAATCTGATATGTCATGGAGGGTAACTTAGAATTGAATCTAATTACAGTCTTTTTTAACTTTAATGTTTTTGGATTCTGTTTTAAAAATAAAATACTAAAAAAGCTCTTATTTCGACTTATTGTTTTCGGAAATATAGATTATATATAATATAACATTGCAAAGTTCATAAAATTTAAAGAAATTTTTTTAATTTTTTTTAAATTTCTAGATTTTTTTGTATTTTGCTAAAATTATAATTTAAAATTTGTCGGATTTCTGGTTTTAAATATTTGGATTGGAATGAGTTTTTTGGATGATTTGAATAGTCTTGATTCATCCGTTTAAAAATGTCGATTTTCTTTATCCGTTAAAATATTTAAAATCTCTAAACTTTCCTAATATTTCCAACACATACACTGTAAAAAGAAGGCATCATTGGATGTGAGCGTTTCAAATAAGAAGGTTTTCCATTAAGATTTTGTTCGACATTTTGTTCGACATTTCTAAAATCTTTGAGATTTTATCTTGTAAATAGAGAGGTATGTTAATTTTTCTACAAACTTTTTAGTTGTTCTAAAAAAGATTTACGTTGTCTCAAATACTTTGAAGATTGTTCTAACAATTTTTAGATGGGTCTAACAACTTTTTAGATAGCACTAAAAGTATTTTCTTAAAGTTTAATTGTGAGCCGATTATAACAGAATTTGTGTCAGTTCGCAATGCATTCGGCCATATGCGATTAATTAAAAAAAAATATTAGGTTCACAAATGACCGAATGAATGCATAGCGAAATGAGACAAATTCTGTTAAGACTCAGCTCACAATCAATCTTTAAGAACATATTTTCAGTACAATCCAAACAGCTTTTAGAATCAAAATGTTTTATTTACAGTGCACGTGTATACTATAGTTAGAAAAACCTCTAACATATCGATTGTAATATCGAACAAATCAAAAGTATTTCGAAACTCGAACATTTTGTTCCAAATCAAGAATAGAATTTAAATGACATCAAAATGTTAAAAAATTCAAAAAAAAACGTTTGTGATTGAGAAATGCTCTCTGCAGTAAGTTGTATTTGACGAAAAAATGTTATACATGGTTACCCACAAAGGATGAGACTTCAGAGACGACTTACAGAATTTATACTACGGTCTGTTTACTTCCAATCAAGATTTCCTGCAAACTGTAAACTGTATTCTTTCTTTGCCAAATTATTGAGTAAGCCATTAAAAGGCTTTATTCAAAGAGGGAGGCTAAATTAAAATTAGGAACGTCAACTTTTTAGGATTTCAGTTCAATGTGGATAACCATGTAGTTCCTGTGTTTTTCATAATACATTGATATTCCAGTATATTTGAAAAAATTGGTCTTAACGTTTCTTATTTTAAATTATTTCGTTCTTTTATTGACTTCTTTTGATTGTGAGATATGATGCCAAAGAAACAACTGCACTGACAACTAGCAAACCTAGAAGAAATAATAAAATTAGGTTTCAAGGGACAAATTTCAATTACCCTTCCATTAAAAATGGGTTAGAAAACAATAGTTTTAAATATTTATCTGATCCATAATGTGAAAGATATCCTCGTTTTCTTAATTATCATAATTTTATAAATTATAGAGAAACTTAATTGAGAATAATGAACTTTTTAGGCCAAGATAATGGATATTTCATTCATTCTTAATCAGACATAGCTTATAGGAGTACCATTGTGAATCTGACGCCACTCTGAAAATGAACTGACCTGATGATATATAGGAAGCTATATCTAAGTCTCCTGTACCATCCACTATAAAGCTAACTAGAGAATTAGTTGAAAATGAACTGCCTGATGATATGTAGAAAGCTATATCTAAGTCTCCTGTACCATCCACTATAAAGCTAACTGGAGAATTAGTTAAAAATGAACTGACCTGATGATATATAGAAAGCTATATCTAAGTCTCCTGTACCATCCCCTATAAAGCTAACTGGAGAATTAGTTGAAAATGAACTGACCTGATGATATATAGAAAGCTATATCTAAGTCTCCTGTACCATCCACTATAAAGCTAACTGGAGAATTAGTTGAAAATGAACTGACCTGATGATATGTAGAAAGCTATATCTAAGTCTCCTGTACCATCCACTATAAAGCCAGCCAAGGGAGGGCCTACAGTATAAGAAAAGGTTGAATTTAATAATTTGCAAGTTAAGCTTTTTTCACAGAATTTACAAAATAAACACTTGATCTCGATATCTGCTGAGGGTACTTTTAAATTTGAGAAAAAATCTCTTCATTTTAGTTATCCCTTCAGGGTATGACCACCACCGGATGTCAAAGAGGAACCAATTTGATGTGTAGGTCTTCGTAAAATGAGATCAATGCTTGATCCCTTTATTAAAAATGCAAAACTAATGACTTTAGGAAGTCTGTGCTGAGTTGAATGGGTATACATGTGTACTGCAGTTTCCAAGAGATATTTAATCAAAAATGTTGTCTTATCAGCACTAAATTTGCTTATATACTTCTAGCAATGTTAAGATATGGGGGTTCCAGATGTATCTTCTCTAGTGTCTACAGTGGACGACTATTATATCAAAACAATGAAGACGACTTTTATTTATAATGCTTTGATCCCCAACAAGCATTTTATAAATTAAAAGTTTATAATAAAACAATCTGTTAATTGAACACTTTTCTATGTATGTATAAGTGCTTCTGCAATTTGAAATTAAAATAGAAATAAGAAGTCGTCTTCATTGTATTGATATGTATGACGACGACTGTATTATCAATAATAAATTCTTTTTTTCCTGAGGATGTTGGAATTTATATGATTTAAAAACTATAAACCTAAGAGCGCTGCGCAACCTCTGACGAAGGTGAGAGTCCCAAAGGCGGAGGTCAAAAGTTCGAGGCCAAGCAGCTCCACGAGGACAGGGGAGGTCACAGCGACCCAGGCCGACAGGAAGGTGCCGAACAGGACGGATATCTTAACATGAAAATATCGTTTAGGACACATCATACTTTCTAAAATAAAAGATCTATCGACATAATTTCTTAGGACCCTTTATTTAAGAAAGTACAAGTCTTATTCACAACGGAACACAATAAATTTCAAAATCAACAAAATCACTAATTTGGCAGCAAAATTTGGATGGTTTCAAATCAAGCGACAAAAACTTGTTTTCATTCAACAAAAAATCGTTTAACTTTCGTTGAATATAAGCGATTTTCTATTTGTAGGTTAGGGTAGGACGTTTTAGATATTTTGGTTTAAAGAAATTCTGTCAATTTTCTTTCTTACGTATGCTGCATAACTTTACAAGTCACGGATGACATAGCACCCGGTTCTGAAAATTCTCAATTATAAGAATGGTGAATATGAATTTTTCTATCTATTACTCCGACAAAGATATCCACGGTACCATTGTGAATTGGGCATTGCCCTCATATATTTGTGTGTCTATCTGAAAAAAATAACATTTTTTAGTGTTTGCTAAAAATGAAACGCTGATCTCGAATTAAATTCGGGTTTGATCGCTACTAATTGTACTTCTATCTGTTGCATATATAAGGAAAAATTGGTTTAAACGCCTTATACCTAAGAGAGTAAACCCCAAATCAATAAACGGAAATGCATTATTCCCCCTAAACCTAAAAAATTGATTAAACTTTAAATTCATCACTCCTTTGAACAGTAAACTTACAATAAGGAATGACCAGTATTCTACACAGAGCGCCATGAGGAGTGGGCAAAGACCTCCGAAGGTCAAAGCTAGAGTTGTCACCACCATAGGGTCAACACAAGGGATGTCAGTAAGTAAACCTGGATAGACAATCAATCAACCAACCTAACTAATTAAAAAAAACTATTTAAGAACTTCTGCAAATTATTCACTTTTAAGGTGTAAACAGGATTTTCTAGCGAATTGTGTTGTTAGTTTTTCAGAAATCATTGATATACATCTTCTTCTTTCTAGCTTTCAAGAAATTACATTTATAAGATTGTATTCTAGCTAGAAAATCACGAAATAAACATGAAAAGAAAATATCCCATAAGGCACCATGTCATAAAAGAACTATTTAGGAGTCAACCCCCTTTTTTAATCAAAGATTTAACGTCAAGCTTAAAGATCACTTTTAACGTAGAAAAGAAAAATGGCCGATGATTATGAAGTTTGACTCCTATTGGGTGAATTGATTATTTCATTGAATGCATGATTGAAGGAATAATTAAATAATTAAAAGGATGAAAAATTAAATGACTGGTTTATTTATTAGTTAATTTATTAATTATTTGATTAGTCGATTGATTAATTAATTAATTAAATAATTGATTAATAAAATAATTGATTGATTAATATATTGAGTAATTAATTGATTCATCAATTGATTGATTGATTGTCCCTGAAAGTATTCTACCCAGTGTATTACAGATACCAACAACAGAGATGAGGAAGGAAGCATCAACTGCAGGGATTCCCTTGGATTCAGCCTAAACACCAAACCAAACCAAATCCAATATGGCCGCCAACGAGGGATATCGGATAAAAATAAAAGAACAAAAGAAGTTATTCGAGTTATTGCCTTATCGTGTTCTGACAGTTTTTAAAACACTTAATTTTCTGTTGATGCAATTTTCTAACACAGATTTAAGGTTAGGATTTTCTTAAACAGTGGGGAACGAAATCATAACTCCAGATTTAAGTCTTATTATTTGCTTAAACCAGATTAAAGGGAAGGACATGCTTCAGCATAGATTTGGGGTTTAATGATTTGCTTAAACAGTACACAGATAAAATTCTTAAATTCAGACTTACGATTTGCTGAAAGAAACTCAGATATAAGATAAAGTTTGAGACAAAGCAAAAGTTATGCTGAAAATTTATTTGAATTTTGGCTTAACTTTAAGAACGGATCAGCTTCATTTGGTTTATTTCCTGTGATGGAAGGTACCTGAAACAAAAGAGTTTTTTCAAAAAAAATCAGTCATAACAAATTTAAAAAAAAAATAACACATTTTTCGACACGGATAAAAGAAAAAACTTTCGATTGACTCGTCATTACGCTATTGTATATTTTTGATTGTATATATCCGCAAGATGTTTATAGAAAATCCAAATGCTTATTAAGTTTTCAGTTCACAATCACATGTACTTTTAAGGTTTAGACTTTTAATTTAAAAATTGCAAATACTAAAATTTTACTTTTGCTACTAAAGCGCACATTTTCCCCCCTTATTATCTTTTTTTAGGATAAAAATGTCGCATTATTTGGCCAACTTTTAGAAGCAGTCAGTTTAAACATTTTAATAAATCAGAAATTTGTGTGGTGGGCCTGTAAAACACCGCAAAAATGTTTTATTGCTGATCGGCTATCAAGAACTTTTCACTTACATGTATGGAATATAAAGACCCATAGTAGAGAATAGGTTGGCCAGAAGAAGAAGAAGGAAGGGTATGTTAGTCAGTAATCTTCTATCAAACACAGAACTTACTACAGACTATACAGGATAACATAGTTTTACTCAAAAATTATTATTTTTATGATGACTAACATTTAGTTCTCCATTCCTCCGGAGGTCAAATGTAAAATAAATTAATATGGGTCATTTTGGAAATCAAATTATAGTTATTTTGGTGTTCCAGTTTTACTCTTCTTGACCTTCATTATAACCATGAAGGTCTTTGACCTCCAAATATCATCGATCTCAGGTGGCCAAAATGTAAATTGAGGGAAAAAGGTAATGATAAGTAAATGAAAATCATAGTTGAGAAAAAGAATGATGACCTAAAACTACAAGGATCTAAAATTCAAATTTCGTCCCATCCATCTGCAGTCCTTTCTAGGGTCAAATGACTTAAAAATGACATAAACCATAGGCATATTTAGGGGTGGGGCTGTGGGGGCTCAGCCCCCCCTGGACCAGTGAATTCTATAGCTTTTCAGGGGGTTTACAGGCCAAAACTAAAATTAAACCCCCCTGGACAAATTTCTGAATACGCCCTTGACCACAACACCTTTAGCAAATTACATTAGGGGTTCATAAACTATCCCTGTCTAGGACGGTTTAAAATCTGGACAAAAGTCTCGTAAGTGATGTAAGAGCTTAAAATTCCCAAAAAGTAAAACTATCCTGAAAACAGGGAGCTGGTTCTCCCTTCTCTTCCTCCTCTTCAACTGCATAATAAGAGAATTTATTTTAGTTTTCAAGTTGGCAGATATTTAGAACTACAGTGAAAACCAGAAAACTGTAGAGAAAGGAAGACGACTTTTTGACTCAAGTTCCAATAGTCATAACGAACATGACTATTCATAGTCATAGTTGTGCATTGTAACCAGACCCATTTAACCTTATAAGTAAATTATTAAGTTACAAGTAAAACTATTAACATCATACACAATTAAACTTTGCTTCTTCCTATTCACAGCTTGTTGGTTCTCACTGTATAGTGTATGGGGTTATTTATAGTTTAAAGATACTTAAACCCTTTTCAAAAACTTTTTTGACACAGTACTGGTACACAGAAAGAATCAATGAACATGAAAACTAAATAATGATTTATCTATGCAGTGTTTATGCGTGATAATTATATTTTCTAGAGGATACTTTGTAAATTATGTAATTAATTCTATTTAGACAGAAGCCCAAAGGAGTTGCGCGCATGCCGCGTTGAATTGCAAGACAGAGAGAGAGCCTGTTCTAGCCACGGCGCTGAACCCCCTAGCCTGTCTTAGCCACAGCACCCGGTCCAGAAAGCGTCTTAATCTAATCAAACCCTAAACTATACTGCAGATCTTTCTCTTTCTTGTAATTCAACGCGGCAAGCACTCGTAACTTCTTTAGGCATCTCCTCTCAATTTAGTTCTCATTGAAACATTAACTATATAAATCTTATAAATATAATAATAATATAAATCAACAAATTTCGCAACAACAATTGATGAAATTGGCGCCATTTTTTCATCTTCATCACGAAAGTCTGAAGTTGCAGCTCTGTCAGTCCTAGATTCTACCTTTTTCCTTCCTTCGCGGCAAAGGTCGCATAACTGCCCCGCAAACAGCACATTGTAAACACAACCCGGCAAGTATCCTACAAAATACATTTTTATAATCGTCTTTAATCTACGCAGCATTCATTCCTGAAAATAATTTAGTTGGAACGTGAAAGTGCTCACATTAGATGTCGAGATCATGTATTCCGATCTCTCCTTAGTTTAGGAAAATTGTGTTATACTAATTTTAAATTTCCATTTGTATTGCGTATTTTTTCTTGAAAGTAATTTTTCTACAAAATGAACATGAAGAGATAAATTATGAAACAAAATACCAAGTTATACATTAGATACTTATTATGTTCTCTTTATCATAACACAAATATCAAAATTTCAAAAACAATTTTCCAGAATTATTTTGTTTTATGTTAATGTACATAAAAATCTAATTTATCTGCTGCTTGTTTAAAACTTTATAGAAACCAACTGCTGGAAGCAAAAACGGTTTCACCCAGATTATAAATTTCTATTTGATATAAAAATCTGTTTGAACTGAAATACTCCGGATTAATTAGAAATTATATTTGAATTTAATCTTTTTACACATTAAATATGATGATTGAATACGTATTTATTCAAATTACGTTTTTAAAAGATTTAATGATTTCAAATTGGCATACCAAAAAACAGCTAATTATGAAGAAATAAACAAATTGATTGTTGAGCATTTTAAATTAGTAGGTGGAGGGGAGGGGACGGGTTATGGAAATGGATTTTAAAAAGGCGTAGTTGAGTAAAGTAGGGCTACAAAGGAAGCTGGAGAGATGGTGAGAGGAGAATATTCTAAATAAACCAATTCTGAACTTTGGTCTCTAGCATAGGAATTCTATACTTTCATCAAGAGCCAAGAATTCACATCATAGGAATTATACTCAAGCCTGCTTTGGAAGCTTGGGGGGTGGGGGGCTCAAGGTAGTGTGAGAAGGTACAGGGCATTACGTGGTATTTTTAGCCTTTAATGCATTCTTCTGGAAACAGAAAAATATCCTGAAAAATAGTGAACAGCTGTAGAATTTTACAGGGACTGTTCGCGAAAAACGAAAGGGGGGAAGGCTTACGGCAAAAAATAATAATCTTTTTAACTTTAATAATTTATTTTAATTAAATTTTACTATATTTTTAAGTTTCTATATGATATCAGATGGAAACATTTTGAGACTTCTATATTTCTTGTTTTTCATTCTTTCTTCTTGATCGTCCATTCCTTGTCCATCCTTCATTCATGCTTAATAATTTTGAAAATAAAATAAATGAATTTTGTGGATGATCCTGCAGCTAGCCAAATTGCAGGGAAAGAACTATTTTTCCGAACCCTGTCACTATGACCTATTCTTAGAGTAGCAAGGTCACTACCCTCTCCCCTTGTTTTGTTTTTAGGAAGAAGAGTATAAGGGATTGCTCCCTGTGTTCCGTCATTTTATACGGTTTCCCAGTTAAGGTGAATAAAGAAACCCACAACTGCACCCCTAATGCCAAATGGGGAGTTGTGATCCCTGAAAGCTCTCTTGAGAGGTATCTTCCATAGCAGTCCAGTCCTCACATCTGGTCGAGTAAAAAACTGATATTTTTTGCATGGCTTGTATACCCACGAGGAGTTAAACTCCTTCTTTCAGTGCACCAAGCTGAAGATAAAGTTTTGTTTTAATTTATGTTCAATTCTTGCTTCCCCTGTAGGATACAAGATTCGTAACTAAACTCAGCACTTCTCCAGCTGTAATTCTGGGACCACATAGGATAGGTCTGTTCTGCTTGGAAGCAGTAAGGCAACTGATCGGCATCGCTACTAATATTACTTTTATCTGTTGCGTATATGAGGAGAAAATTGTTAAAAACAACTTATACTGAAGAACGTAGCATAGTCATCTCGTGAAAAATAAAATTCTAGATTGTTTATTTTTTCTGAGTAAAAGTTATCTTGTTTTCTTTTTTTTTCATGCAATTTCTACACCCTTCATGTCGGAGGGTGGGAGGGGGTGTGGGAGAGGGGTTAATATTAAAGAAGGGTCAAAACCAATATGCTGGTTATCTGAAATCATTTCGAAGCGCAATATTTTTATTGATTAAATCTTTTTACCTGGTTGCGCCTTCCCAACCATAGTAGCTCAACATAAGGGATGCCAGGGGGGCTGAAAACAACAAAGTTTTGAAAGAAAAAACATTAAAAAAAATTCGAAAATTGTCGTCCTTGTTTTAAATTAACAATGAAATCCACTCCCAAATTTCATCCGCCTCAATGATTGACGACTTGAAGCTTTTTAAATGTGATAGTCTGAATGGTAACTTTGGTCTGTATTCAATAGGAAATCTTTTTGCAGAGGAAGAAATAAGTTGCAACTTCAAGGAACAACAAACGTGAGAAAAAGTCAGAATAATTCCGAATACAGTCGTCTCTACAGTCACATCCTTTGTACAATTTCCAAGAAAAAGAATTGTAAGAAATGAAATTGAAACTGAATTATTTCCTAGAATAAAGGTTCCAGCTCCAGACCCACAAACAGATATCCCTAAAATATTCACCTATTAAACTTTGTTATTATTTTAACATACTTCAAAAAAGACAAATTAACCTGTCAGAAAAATGTTTTTGTCTTCCGAAAAAATTACAATTTTGATGGTTTTACAATATTCAACACAATTTTTTGTTTTGTTCAGGAAGAATTTACTGCAGTAAAAAATGTTTCGCCCTGTCCAAAGCAAAGTTTTGTACTTTTCATTATTGTTCAATACAAAATATTTTGTAATGTTTAAAAACAAAGGTTTGTTCTGCACAAAACTAAGTCATGTTGTACAGCTGTTAAAAACCTTTGCGCTTTTTTAACAAAAATGAGGAAACGTGAACATTAAAAACAAAAAAAATTTACAATTTGAAGCAACATATTTATTTTCGAGTTTCTTTTAACAATTAACTGCCCCTGTACCAAATGCTCGAATTTCTTGACAAAGTAAGGGCTAATCTAAATAACCTGAAACTTAATAAACATTGATTGAAGACTTGATAAAGGTTTGTGCAACCTAATTTTAGCAATATTTTTTATAAAAAATTGACCACAAAATAAATCAAGTCCTACAATATCTTAAATCTGGTGGGCATTTTTTTGCTTTCATAATTACCGAAATTTAGATTGATTTTTTTTCAGAATTAGACATTTTCATGGTTTTATTTTAAAAATTGAAATTTAAACAAAATTCTTAATATCTTAAAGTCATTAATCAACTAATATTATTCCGGGTTTTTTAGATTACCACTGTAGTATTGATACTACTACTACAACATGTTGGTACATATAGTACATACATTAACCCTGGACTTGTAGGTAGGCTGTTCCCGGTGTACTGTACTATGTACTGTACCTGTAGCAAATGCTCGTTTCTTCTCGAAGTAGTATCCTACAGCTACAACTGCTGGTACATACATTAATCCTAGTCCTGTACCCGCTACTATACTGTACAACAGCATCAGAACCGGTACTGCTCAAAACACACTTCAGTTAAATATCACTATAGGACTAATTAAACGGTTCGTGTCCATCTTTCTAAAAATAATCTTATCTTTTTGTTCCTGATCTTTCTGCAAGCCGTTGTACATTTTAACATAATAACAATAAGAAAATTTGTAGATTTTACTGCTTTTCTGGATGGAGCTATAAAATTTAATAAAATTAATTCGAGGAAAAAATTGAAAAATGTTACCTGGATAAAATTCTAATTAGAAAGTTATTACGAAAGCTAAAATTAAAAGCTTAGTGTATATTATATGTAATGCTAAAGATGGAGGCATTATAATTGGTTTGATTTTTGGGTATTTGCATCAACCCTTTAATTACATAAACTTTATTCTTATAATGCTGGATGTATTTAACTATGATTAAGTTATTTTAATATACTACTTTAATTCTTTTAGTTTAAGCACAACCCCCCCCCCCCCATCCTTTCCAGACCTCAGTTCTCCCCCTCCCAAATCAGTCGGTCTTAGTCCCCCCACCACCACCCCCTCCATAATTCATAAAAAAGTTTTCTTCATCATATTTCCTGCTTAATATAGCAATTCTATTCAGAGAGCTTTACCATAGAATAGATACGGGGGAATGTTCACGAATAAGGAAATGTCCAATGTTCAAAAATATTTTTTTTCATTAAAACGAATTCAGCTTTTGCCACAAACTCTGCGTTTTTAATCCTTATACCTCTGCAACCCAATGTAGTGGACCTTTGATATTTCAAACTATGAATTCTGTTAGATCAATTAGTCTATAGTTTGAAATATCAAAGGTTTTAACCATAAGATGGCAAAGATATAAAAAATAACAAAATTGAGTATGTGCCAAAAACTCAATTCTTTTAGATAGAAGTCCTTGCAAATTCCAAAGATTCATAAGTATTAAAAATGAATATAAATTTAATAGTTTGCGCTGAGTAACCTTGAGTTAGTTTTGTCTTCACATAAAGTAAATTACTATAAAAACATTTAAATAAAAGCTACTCATCAGAATTCTATAAATTAACTCAATTAGCATGACAGATGGAAAAATTGAAATAAAAAAAAATTTTTAATTTTTTTAGTAAATAATCAAAATTCCCGGATTTGAGGTGTCGAGTTAAAAACTTATTTTCTCATCATATTCCGTAATCTATACAGTGGGACCTATAAAACTGTGGAGTATTCCATCCATCTGTAAGTTCTAAGTTTAAAAACTCAAATTGACATGAAATACAGCAAATCTGCTGTGCACACAGTTTCATTTCACTAAAGTTGATTTAAAGCTACTGGTAAAACTATTTTCTTTTATAACATGATCAAATTGATATATAAGATTACTTAATTTTTGTTGAAGTCCCATTGTTCATTACGTACACAATTGTGACTTTGTGACGGAAATAGCTTGGTTCGTTTATTAAAAGCTCTAAAGAATTTTGGACTTCTGAAAGGTTCCATAAATTTCTGAAAAGTTTACTAATTTCAAAATTCTGAGAAGTTTACTAATTTAAAATTTCTGAGAAGTTTACTAATTTCAAAATTCTGAGAAGTTTACTAATTTCAAAATTGTTTATGTTAAGCAGTTTTGTTGAATTTTGAACCTGAGAAAAAAATAAATGCAAAAATTACAAACCCCAAAAAAATAAAACGAGCTTTTTAAAACGAACGTTTTCCCCTTATACTTTTTATGAGGATAAAATATGCAAAGTTTAATCATGCAAATAAAACTTTTACAGAATACAGTTTTGAAATATTCGAAATTCACATGGCAGTATTTGTGTGCAGGTGCCTTTTAAAAAGTCCAAAAAACTCTAAAACAAATATATACCAAGCTCTCGCCAAGGTTGAATTTTCAATTTCTATGTAATTAATTTTCAGCCCAAAAGACAATCTTCAGACTACTTTATATCTCAATTTTAGTGCAGATGCAACCCAATTGGATTGGTGCCAATCCCTAGGAATTTTGACACAGATTTCGAAAATATTGAAAGAATGAATCAATGATGAGATCTCATGTATGTCCCATTCATATTTGTCCAAAATCAAGATTTGATCAAATTGATAAAAAATATTTATGAAGTTCCTGATGTTGCAAAAGTTGAAGCAAAAAATCCTAAAACATAACATAAAAGTTTAAAATTTTAAAATGTGTATTCTTTAACTTACAAAAGCTTAGATGGTTTATTTTCACTACTGTTACAAAAATAATAAGAGAAAATTTATCAACATTAAGCTATAGGAGTGATAAGCAATTGAAAACACACAAAAGTGTGACATACGGACAATAAACGTCGAAACTTTTTACAGGGTTAAAAGAGGAGTCTTTAATGACGACCTAAAAGGTTGAATTTGGTCTTTACCTGAAATATTGCATAAATAATCTAGTTAATGATCTGGAAAAGAGAGAAAAAGTTTTAACCAAGGTACTGTGCTTAAGATTAAAGAATATTTATGAATTCTGTACAGTTGTCTCTGATGTCTCATGTTTTGTGTGTAACCCTGTATTACTAGAATACCTGTTGCTGATATAACTGCTCCAGCGATACAAACTACTCTTGTTCCAAATTTATTTACAAGGACAGCTACAAACGGACCAACTAACTGTATAGTTCCTGAAATGCAAGAACAGCTACAAACGGACCAACTAACTGTATAGTTCCTGAAATACAAGAACAGCTACAAACGGACCAACAAACCGTATAATTCCTGAAATACAACGACAGCTACAAACGGACCAACTAATTGTATGGTTGTAGTAGTAAAACATGAGGTAGTCAAGTAAACAAGCGTACGTTGCGAAACTTCATTCAATTTTTGAAAATTGATGGAACTTGTCATTGGAATCTGGAATCTGGATATGTGCTCCACGTAAATTTAAGAGACCCCCCCCCCCCACTGAGCTCTATAAAACTATGAAAGTTAGCCATCAAATGTCCGATTGTAAAGTGTCGCAACGCCTTGGCTTTTAGTTTTACCTCAACAACTTAATTATATTTTGTTGTAGCCCTATTCATTTACAGTTTAATACATTGCGTTTGTTTCTAGCTTAAAGGGCGTGACTTGATAGACAATGGTGGTCGAACTGAAAGTGCAGTATTGTATAGAAAACCTGAAGGATTTCATACCGAGGAGACATTTTTATACAATGTACAATTTTTAAATAAGAGCGCAAAGTCGTTTGTAATTTTTCACCAGTTGTTTCAGTCAGCAGAGAAGAAAAGTTTTTTTACAATCCTTAAATAACATGGACAAAACATGTACTATTCTACAAAGTTGTCGCATGTATACAAACAGGTTGAGAATGAACTTATATCATTAAAAATAAATTTTTGCAGGTTTATGCAAATTTGTTCAGAGCTACGGTCGCTTAATAATTAAATGCTTTCTATATTTTAATAGTGAAGACGACATTTTGAAGAAGTCTGCGAATAAAGTTATAGAAAGAGCAAAGGAGAATTAAATACTCTACTGTTCTACTAGGGCTTTCTATATTTTAATAGTGAAGACGACATTTTGAAGAAGTCTGCGAATAAAATTATAGAAAGAGCAAAGGAGAATTAAATACTCGATTCTACTGTTCTACTAGGGCTTTCATCAATATATATATATATAGCTTATATAGCTAACGGAAGAGCAAAGGAGAATTAAATACTCGATTCTACTGTTCTACTAGGGGTTTCATCGATAATTTCTTTTTAGAAATATGTTCATAAACAGAAAATTAAATCTTTATAAAAAAGAGAGATTTTTATTTTATAAGTTGTCCTTATTTACCTGCAAGAACACTTCCAACCAACGACATAGGACCCTTTTGAACTCTAAAAAATTCAATTATTAAAAGGACTGTTAGCGTAATTTCAAATGAATCTTCATGCAACGATGGAAATATATATAATTACTTCCAGACAAAAAATAATTTTTATTCGAATTTTTTAAGACTGCGTTGGAAAGAGAATATTCGAGATTTTCAAGACTTATATTTAAAGCCAGCTGCGTTTAGTTTACAATGTACGATAGCGTACACTTCTGTTTTAGGCAATTTTTAATATTGCCGATAATCGGTCAAAGGTTTGAAGAGTACCATTGTAAGTAGGATATTCCCCGCTTAAAGTACCATTCGAAATTACGCACACAATCCCTTTAATATTGTTTATAATGAACCGTGTTTTTCAACCAATTAAATTCAAGGATTTAAGAGTCCGTTCAATGAAAAATGAAATGATTTCTAATTTTTAAAAATATAATTTCAAGACAGAGTAAATTTGTCAATGTTTTTTATATAGCTAACAGAAAAAAGTCTAATACTTAACACAACTTTGTTGTATATCTACCAGAAATGGTTAATACTTCTTTAGTTATCTTAAACTTAATTTTTACTTTCTGTCTGGGGTTTAAAACACCAAAAGATACGATCAGCCAAATATTAAATTAGAAAAATATCTAAAATATGTCTTAAAAACTTACCCAAAATGTTCCATTAGCGGGATAAGAAAGATTCCGAAAGTGTACGCAATACCATCCAAAACCTAAGAATGAAAAAATTAAAATATATTTCTTTTAGAGTGTTTAGAGATACTTTATGGCTGGTGCAATTCTTTTTTTAAGGGGGGGGGGGAGATACTCGCATTCAATATAGTTTATTTCTTGCTAAAACTAAGTTCTTCCTTTTGATATTTGAACAAACAAAAATCTCTTAAATTTTTAAACAAACGAAATTGAATTTTAGTGACTTTAAACTTAATTGTCTAACATTTACATCAACAATTTAAATAATAGATAACTAGTTAACTTTAGAAATTTACAACTAGTTAACTATAATTAATTTATAAATATAGACTAACAAAATTCAGCCTCTTCACATTTTTCCTCAAAACAAATAAAGTTAAGGTTGGCAAATTGCACTAATAACATATTTGTCCTTAATTTCACTTTTTTGAGATTTTATTTAAGAGTGTACTGACTACAGATATAACTTGTTTCTTTACAATTAATATTTATTCTATATATATATATAAAACTAACCAGATTATATTCCTGCATAACATACCAAATTACAGATATTTTATATGCATTATTCAGATATAACTTATTAAATTTCAGATACAACTCACTAAATTATAACTTGGTCCATTTCGGAGATAATTTGATACATACAGATAAAACTTACAGTTTTACAGATTTAACTTACTATATTACAGATTTCTTTACTATATATAACTTGGTATAGTTCAGATAAAACTACATTTATGTAACTTATCAAAGTAGAGATGTAACTTATAAGATTACACGTATTATTTTGAACATTGCAGATATAACTTACCAGATAACAGATAAAACTAACCAAATTACAGATAAAACTTACCATATTACAGATAAAACTTACCAAATTTAAGATAAAACTTACCAGATTGCAGATAAAGCTCACCAGATTTCAAATAAAACTTACCAGATTACAGATAACTCTTGTCAGATTACAGATAAAACTTACCAGATTGCAGATAAAGCTTACCAGATTACAGATAAAACTTACCATATTACAGATAAAACTTACCAGAATACAGATAAAACTTACCAGATTACAGATAAAACTTACCAGATGACAGATAACACTTACCAGATTACAGATATAACTTACTAAATTACAGATAAAACTTACCAGATTACAGATAAAACTTACCAGATTACAGATA